AATTAAAATCAAAGAAACATTTATTATTTGAAGTAGAGTTCAAAGATGGTGTACCTAGCATTTGTGTGAAATATACTTAGTTCATTTAGAAGTAGAAATATTCTACATACAACCATGATCATCAAACAATGTACTTAAAGTCAATAAGCACTAGAACTTTTTGGCTTCGAATATAAACCTATTAAGTCGAAGTATAAAAGTGTGTTCTTTTACGTTTTAATGAAATTTATTGTAAGCATTTTGCATAACAAATTTTCTTTTATTGTAATAATTTTTTGGTAATATTGGCATTTTAGTAACAGCTAAACTTTAAAAAATGCTCTGGTAGTAGGCAAAATTCATTTTTTTTTTCATTTGTTAATTTTTGTAGGTAGATTTATAATTCTTTTCCCAACAGTCAAAATGAGTTTACAAGGTGTTTTAAAATAAAATTTTAGTTGGTCTTTTTTAACAATCTAGTTATTTTTCGTTCAAATAAACATTTTCCACGTTAAGGTTAGTGCGTCCAAGGTTATTCGATTGGGTCGCAATTTCTTGTTTTTCAAACTGACTGTACCCTATACCCTCTAGACAAAGCGATTTATTTTTAAAGTCCCCAACTGTGCTGCTTGTTAACTTGTGAAATGCTTAGTTTTAATAGATTAGAAAAACAGACAGTTAAACAACAAAAGAGTAGGTTTTCACCAAATCTATTTTCCATGACCGTTTTGTTATTCTAGATTAATAAAAATGTTTACACATTCGTCAAAAGTGGTATTCAACAGATGGCCATTTTGATTTAAGACTTACGCTTTAACATTTCATATAAGCATTATGTGATACAACAAGAAAAGATTATAAGTTATTCAAGTTCAATGCAAGACGTTTACCATAAAAAAAACTATTATACCGACTATAAAATTGAGAAAATATGCTAAATAGGTAAAAGTACATAGGGAACTGAAGTACAACCGTTGAGAGGTTGCCCCCAAGGATGAGTATTCTGAGCTTTCTTATTGGTAGTGGACAACCACCAACATAAGCTAACTACAATGGGCTTTGACGTTTGAAGGTTCGCCGATGACATCGTCATTTATAATAATCCGGGGCAAATATGACCAGACATTGATCGAAGTGCTGCAAAAAGCCTTAAAAATAACGTTGAATTGGTGCCAGAAAAAAGATCTAAATATAAACCCCTGCAAGGCATGAATCGTTCCATTCACGAGGAACACGTAGCTTAATTTACAGCTTAACCTAATCTGAAAGCATTCCAAGGAAGTTACTACCATGGAGAAGTTCTCGACCAAAGGTTACCGTGGAATGCACACCTCTAGGGCACCCACGATAGTTGCACAATGGTTATGCCAAAGACTCGGTGGTAGAATGTGTCGTACCTTACGATGGACAGGTCCCTGATCACGTACACAAGTTGCATGGTGGCCAATAGCAAAGCAATGAAAGATAAAGTAAATTTTACAAAACTACAATGACTAGCGGCCTTAGCAATAATGGTTCAACAGCAACAGCTCTAATGGAAAGTATCCTTAACTTGCCGCCCAAAAAGATGGCGACTGAAGGACTTAGGAATGTACAGCTGGCATGAACATTCATCGGACAGAAAAGAAAGCATTCACCTAATTTTCGTCATACAAACTGACATGACCAAAACCGTCTCTGACATATCAGAGAAATTACTAGACTTTGACAAAACCATTTATTTCAAAAATTGAAGAGGGCACAATAGAAATGAATGAATGCACTTGATGCTTTTTTATGGTATAAAATAGTACAGAAATAGGCATACAGGACTATGATCACCACATGGTCCTTGCTCCATCATAACCATATTTTAAGCCGATTTACTAGCCTTAGAAAGTGTGCTCACGAGATCAATAACGAGCATCTCAAGGGTAATTTAATACTGTCAGATAGCCAGGTCGCCCTTCAAGCCTACGAAATAAATTCGAAATCTGTCTGGAACTGGCTAAATAACATAAAACAAATTGTGATCCATAAATAATTCAACGATACAGAAGCTTCAGTTATGAGGGAATTTCAAATAACGAAACGGCAGAGGCTAAATGTAGATCTCGGAAAAAACTAGGACCAAATCTATTTTGTGGTATAAACAAGAGCCACATTAACAAAGAACTAGAAGCTTGGGTGACTAGGGAACATAAATACTAGGACGTACAGCTGGCATGAGGTAAGCAAAAAGACTCCTCGCAAAAACCGCAGAAAATATACTCAACAGAAAGGAATTAAAAAACCCTCATAGATGTACACTATAACTAGAGGAAACAGAGACAACAGAGCATAACCTATGCAACTAGCCTGTAAAAGCTAGAAGAAGACTAGAAACCTAAGCCATTCTTGAGCAATGTAGACCATACTCCTAAGAACTCGGTACTTTAATTAAAGAAGCGAAGATCGTACAGGAACACCATTAGCACAGCTCGAACACGATAGACAGAAATTTTAAGCGCAAAAGGGGGAAATCCTTTCGATTCTAGAGCCTATGATAATCTGCGAGGATTCGGCCACCTCTGTGTCCCCAAGTTGTTCTTCAAACAATAAATGGTCAATTTTTCCTTACATTTTCAAAAGACTAGGTAAAGATAAAATTGGATCTCAATAAACAATACGGATTGCATAAACAAAGCTTAAATGTTTAATGAGCGATTTTTAGCCAAATTTAGCAGATAGAGGTCAGAAGTCATGAGCAGTATATCGTTGATCTGTTTAAAAGTGAAAAAAAATATAGAAACCACAGATCATGTATCACTATTTTTTAAGTCAAATCCATTTTCTTTTTTAAGCAGTATCTCGTAGGCAGATCAGCAATAACGTCATCCGACATTTTAATATATTAAAAAGGGCATGTACAAGTGAAAGAATAGGTTATGGGTTCCTGACGATGAAGACAGGACAATTGCCAACTATTGTAAAATTGTCAATTTTTCATAAATTCTCAAAATTAGACAAAGTTGAAATTATATCACAGTCCTCAATTTGTGTCCAAAGATGATATTAACCACAACTGATATGTTACATCTTCGCTATTTCTAACCTAATGTTGACAAAAACAATAGTCGTCAACAGTCCTATCTAGCAGATAGATAAATAATCTGCGAAGTTTCAGCAATCACTATGACTCAACGTTCTTGATTAACGACTGGTCGGTTGTACATAATTTCACCACACTACACAATCACAAAGTTTAAAATTGGTATACAACTAGTACCTACATGACATGTACTAACCAAATGAAATCTTACTCTTAGCTATTTTTAACATAATTTATCTATGAATACGAAGCCAACAGTCCTACCAAGCAGAACCATCGTTCATCTGTTAAAATACGAACTTATTTTATATTATTACAACTGGTATACCAAATTACAAATCGTGTATAACTTTTTACGCAGTATCTGGATCAACATTAATGTCAACTGACGTTTTAATATATTAAAAAAATGTTAAACTGCCAAAGATTATGGATTACCTAAGACAACAAAGAATATTTATATGATATGGATATAAATGAAAGAAACTGAAGCAATAGGCGAACTTTTTAGCCCCTATGGACCAAAGCTAATCTTAGTAATTAACCAATGGTTATTTTTTGCCAGTAATTTCATAACACTAGAAAAAGCTAAAAGTGAATCTCAAACAGTGACAACCTAACTACAAGCCAACAGTCCTATTAAGAACATCGTTCAACTGTTAAAACTAGTATACAAAATTTCAAATGCTTAACTTTTGATGCATTACTGTATTAGCGGATCATCTGACGTTTTAATATATTAAAAAAAATGTTAAAACTGCAAAAGAACACGGATTCCTTAAGATCTGCACAGGACATTTACTGTAGGAACTATGGATACAAATGAAAGAGGATGAAGTAATCGGCGCACCTACAGCTCCTTTGCCTCAACGTTTTTAATTTTATTATTAACCAACGTTCGGTGTTCATCAGTAATTTCACAACATTAGACAAAGGTAAAATTGAATTTCAGACAGCGAATGCAAACTGCTAGCATATCTCAGTTATTTTTAACTTAATTGAATAACCAATAAAATCAAGTCAACAAGCCAGATATTGATGTATTCGAAAATTAATGTTAGTACCTAGAAACTGTCATTTTTTAAGCAGTATCTCATTAGCAAATCAGCATTAGCGTCATCTGATCCTTTAATATATTAAAATATGTGAAACTGCAAGGAAAGGTTATGAATTCCTTTAAGATCAATACATGACCATTGCCATAGAAACGGAATATATAATAAAATGTAATGGACGAATTATGGCAACTGTGACCTTAGGTCACTCTTAAATCAACAGATAGCTTGTTATTCTGTAGCAACTGGGATTACCGCAAATCCCCACCTGAGGCAGAGGTTGTTTGATCAATATATGGTCGCATACTCTGTTTAAGTCACGTTTTCAACCGGATAAAGATGTTTAATAACATGATGCTCTGACATTTATTATTTGAACGACCAGACGTGTTATATCCTAACTGTTTGGCAGTATGACAGATAGGCATCACAGTTGTTGACCCTTGTTTTACTCGCCCTGGGCCGGGTCTTCTGTACTTGACGTGTTTACTATTTTATATAATGGTTTGGGACGTAAACACTTTTCCTATGAAATATCTAATCGCATTTTTTTTAAAACTGATTACCGTTTGTGTCTGGTTGTATTTATTAGTTTTTTTTCTCTCTCTCTTTCGCACATTATTTGAACATTAGGATCTGCTGCAAAGATCAATAATCTTCTTAGTAATTATTTAGTAAGATTAATAAAAGCACAACACCTTTTACTCCCTTTTTTTTCTTCTTCTCTGACTAAGCATTCAAGCCGGCAATCCAGCACCCAGCGTTGCCAGTCTTCTGATACGCAATATCTGTATGTTTCGCACGTGAAAATCGATAACAAAACTACTAAAATATAAAATTTGAAAGTTTAAAAATTGGATTTTACTCGGTAGAAAAGTTACAACATAATTTACTAATATACCGTTTTAATATTTCTATTTTTATACAATTAGAATAACATGTAATAAAACTCTAATCGCAAACAGAAATACCCAATTGGTAAATCAATTTTTTAGAGAACATTTTTTTTGTTTTACTATTAATAAAGAAATATACAATTTACACGAGTATACTTAACTAAAAAATGCACTGCCTAGAAAACACAGCCAAACAAAGAAACAAACATACAATGGATCCATTTAAACGATTATACAGTGACAGATAGTAACGAGTACAATATTGTAATACATAGTAATAGAAACAAGAGGTAAGTATTGTTTGAATAATATATTGTAAAAATCTCTCACAAATATCTATAAAGGCTATTGTGTGTAAAAATGACTCGTGAATGTATATTTAAAATGTTTCCAATTGACTTTTATGAAGACTTGAGTTCCTTGTCGAGCACTAAGATACCGAGGCCTTCGCCAACGCGGCGGACGTTGGTCAGCAGGTCTCCGAGTTCTTTTATGGAATCGACTTGCTCCTGTAAGTACTCGTTCTCAATAAAATCACATAGGTTTGCATCGTTATGAGATCCAGCGATTCCATGAAGGGTCAAAAGACTCTAAAACAAAAACAAAAACGAAAATTAATATAATTTCAAGTGCTGCATGCAGCATTTTTGACTCCATTCCAGACATGGTGCTGGTTACGGTTTAACAAAGGTATTCTGATACTAGTATTATAATACAAGTTTATTTTGCAAATAAAATCGGTCAAGGTTTTCTCTGCGTGTGCTACATGTCCTTTAAAATCGTCCCTGAACCTCTTCAGGTAAGTTTCTATTCAGGATATAAGCTTCAAAACCTGCAGTATAAATAACTCTGTATATAATTCAAAAGATAGTTAGACTTGACTTGTTTCACTTGACTTGATTTGTGTTTTTTAATAAAAAGCTTCTTTTGAAAGATCTTGCAGTTTTCTTTTTATGTAGAATAGACATAATTTGAAAAATGTATCTAGTAGATTGTGGTTCGTTTCAAGTATCACCGTGGATAATAGGAAACACATCGATTCTCAGGTTTTAAAACATTTTCTTCTAGCTGCATACCAATTAGACATTTTCTGTATAGCATGCCTATCGTCAAAATTGTGTATTAACTTATGCAGTGTTTTTTCAATAAGGAAAACAATATGTACAAACATATATCAATAGCACCTATGCACGACATCGAACCAAATGAGAAAAAAATTATTATGGACTAAAAGGTAAAATTTATAACAAAGAAAAACTAAATCACAGTTAAAAGTAGATGTCCATGAATTAGCAAAGTTTACTCTTTCAGCTTTCTGGAGTTTTGTTTATAGCCGGGCTGCTTTGCCTGGTTGGAACTTCTGGAAAGTTTGTTGGAGAGGGGTAGCAGTACCCAGTTTTACCAAGTTAGCAGTAGTGGTACGTTCTCAATTCTCCTGCTAGGTCATAATATCTATGATTTTATCTTTCAATTTGTGAACTAATCGAAAAATTGCTCCATTTTTTTTTATTCTTCATTTCTGTTTTTCACTTTTTCTTCTATTTTATCTTCTTTTGTGGTCTGTTGGATGAATTCTTCCAGTCTTCATTAGTGAGTTCTCAATCTCGAATGAGCGAAACCGCTAATAAAGAGATTCCACTGTCTATTTCAAAGCAACCCTGCCTCTCCTCTTCAGTATACAAAAATTACTTCATAATTCAGGCGTACCTGAAGATCAGGCGGGGCTATTTCGAAATACATTCAAGAGACAAAAAAACCCAGAACACTCGTATTTATTGTTTACTTCAAACCGTATGCATTTTTACCTTAATATCTTTTATTAAAGCAAAACCAAAACTCTTTAAATTCTGATATTGTTCAATTCGAAAACAAATATGTCGTAAATAATATAATAAAATAACTAAGCTGTAATTAATATGATAAAATACATATAGTTTGAATTAAATAATTTTTTTGTCTTTTAGTAAATACATTAATGGAAAATAAACGCACTACCTTTTAAGTTTTTAGGTCAAATTTTTAATTTAAATGTGTTTAGGTTTATTCATACGTTACATAGCAAAATAGGTTTGGTTGTAAAACTTTAAAAAATTCTTAAAAAAACAATTACCGAATAAAGAACAAAAAAGTAAAAAATTCTAAAACAAACGAAAACGTTTGAAAAAAATTTTGGCCCACTTTACTACCGAGTATATCCACTTCTGACATGAATCACTTCCTTTAAACGCTTATGCATTGCCTTGCAATTCTTGGAAAATATTTGTGATAAAATCCTAAGGAATTCTTCAACAATAGCCTTTTCCGACTGTTCTAGTGTGTTATGGGACATGGGTTTCACCGACGTACTCAATCGCTTAAGTTAGTCCCAAATATGTCAAAATGGATTCAAAGCTGGACTTCGCGCTAGCCACACCAAACACTCAATTCCAACCTCATTCATGTAGTCATCCACAATACGTGCTCTATCCTGGCATTAGCAAGAATTGCTCTCCGATGTGAGGGGAGGGGCAAATGGAACTATATGTTCTTCGATTGTCTTGTACCTCTGTGAAGTTATAGACCTTCCTCGCACAACACACAATTCGGTGCGGGCGTTCAAGGCAATGCCACCCTTGAACATAAATGACCCACCTGAAGACCGCGCACCATGGAATGTACCTTTCTCCTAAGTGTCTCCACATGAAATTTGTCCATCTGAAAATTTGAGACCAACTCTAACATCATCTGTAAAGAGAGAACACGTCTTCAATCTTCCAATAACCAATGTTCATGTTCCCTTGAGAATTGAAGCCTAGACATTTTCATTTTGAGCCTTCTTCTTACTGTCCAGGAGGAAACATTTCGGATTTAATTTACCGATGAATCTGTCGTCTCTCTCATCTATAGACCTAGGCTGGCCTGTCCTATCCTTTTAGTGTGAAGCCCTGTTTCTCTGAATCGCCGAAGAATCCTTCTTATTGAATAGTGATTTACACTCAGTCTCCTGGCGACTTTGCGCTGGCTGTATCCTTGCTCTAATAACGTTATGATGCTGACACTGTCATACTCAATCCATTGCCTGACTGAAGCCATTGAAAACGATTTAAGAATAAGAATAACATCAAATGAAATCAACGAGGGAAAAAGATTAACTGAAAGCGTTCTTTAGGCGTAGGAGAATGGGAAGGGCATAATGCTACATTTTATGCAAATGAGATAAACCAGTACAAAAGTAAATAAAGGAAATATAAACTAAGATTCATTTGGACTACGATAGCTAATTACCTACAACTAATGTTCAAAGATAATGGATTTAATTTTAAACTAAATAAATTAAGTGGTGCGTTAAATTTTTGCATTAGTGTATATATATTTTTCAAAACAATTGGTTATTTCACTTCATTTCGACATAATTTTTTAAATGATCTAGCCTAAATAAAATCTCAAAAGTACAACATAGTTGATGTAGTTTTTTGTCAATATTGAGTAGTTAAGAAGAGAATCGACAACGAGGGCAAACCACAACCTACTATCTATCTTTCCGTGTTCCTTGGGGATCAGCCATAGAATCATTGCTATTTTTCAACGAATTCTGATAGAACTGAACAATCCTTGGAAAAACCCAAACAGGAAAATTAATTATTTCTATTCGAACACCGAGTTTTCCAACAGAACGTGAATTTTATTCAAGGCTGAAGAATAGTCAATATTTCTTAAAGACAATTTTATAAATTAAATTTCTGCGATAAAACATCTAATACGGTATGAAACTGCTTTGATACCTTCAAACATCAGAGTCCTTTCATCAGAAACGTTACTAAAGAGAGTTAAATGGAATATTGGGCATCTGTGTAAACCTGTCCTTCACAAACAGTTTTGTCTTTTGTTTTACAATTATTAATTTCTTTCAAACTGAAGGCAACATTTGTTCTTTTGTTACATTTCAAGACTTTTAAACGAAATGGGACCGTTCAAGGGACCGATTTTTTTTTTTTTTTTTTTTTGCAGTAAACGTCATAAATTTCCTGTCTGATATCTCTTTCCTGACCATGATCTACAGCTTTTGTTCAAAAATTACATTAACAACGAAAAAGCAACTCTAAGCATTAAACAAATATTAGAATTAAATTCTCAACAATGATGTTAAAATCTTCATCTTTTGATAAAAATGTTTAAATAACTTTATTTAAACAGTGACATGTATTTGGCAATATGTATGTGGCAATAACAGTTTTTTTTTTTGTAACTATTCTCAAACTAATTGTCTTACCAACACGTTTGTTTCAACTCACCTTAGCAATTCCAGTCCATAAGCCATAAAAACGCCTTTTGCACAATATATAATGTAATAAAAATATGCAGCCTTATATCTTTAAGGGTCAGAGATGTATCGACCAATTTTTTACTCACGAATACTCTGGATCTCGGCATGGTCTACATGAAAAAACAAATTCAATTGTTATCTACCCCAAAACACGTCGAAATCTTGCTAGATAACAACTGATTTTTTTTAAGACCAAACCGAGATCTAGTTTTCGTTATTTCTCTATTCCATGTCGTTTTTGACAAGATTTATCAGAGGAACATAAAAATATTTAAAATCTTACCATGTTGACATCCTTCTCGAGCTGAAGAGCAGCTGCAACAGCTTCTTCAGCGGTGCCCCAGTCGTCTTTGGTCGGTTTGACAACGTCCTGGAGGAGAATTCTGCCTCCTCTCTTGTTCAGGTAGGACATAAGCTTCATCGCATGCTCCCTTTCGTCGCAGGAGGCCTTCTTGAAATAATGGGAGAATCCTTCTAAAGCGATGTCGTCCCTGTCAAAGTGGTATGCCTGAGCAAGAAGAAATAAATGTTAAATTTTCATCCAAGACAATAAAAAATAACATATGAGCTACAAGGAACAAGTATTAGATACCAGTGTAGACAAACGAAATTTGAATTTTTGGACGTTGTGAGTAATAGTGAACAACGAAATTTGAATTTTTGGACGTTGTGAGTAATAGTGAACAAGTATGAAATGCCAAGATGCCAAATTTGCATGTTATCAAAAATTTGAACTGTGCTGTGAAGACACATTATTATTTCCATTGTACCAGTGGAGACTGGTGGAAGAATATTCTGTTTTGAAATACTTAATAACCTTGGAATTGAAATAGTAATATTAAAGGAGCTTTGAGCTTTTGGACGTTGTGAGTGATAGTGAACAAGTATGAAATGACAAGATGCCAAATTTCCTTGTACCAGTACAACTTACCAAATAGTTTTGATAGAAATAAAAAATAAGAAGCCTATTTATTTAGCACTATAGTTACAAATGGAATCTAGTAGGCTTATTGGGGGATAATACGAATATTTACTGTTTCAAGAGCTTTCCAAAAAAAAATTTGATTTCCTTCGGTCGTATTCAAAACGAGGAGCAAGTATTATTACTAAACGGTTTTGTAAAAATGAATCTTGTAAAATACATTATTCTTCTAATTTGTAAGTTTTTTAAACTTTCCCCACACTATTTCTGAATAATTTGATATGCTAATAATCAAGTATCAAATACCTGCTAAATTTACTAAGCAGTTTAAAATTTTCTTAGCATTATTTATCACATATCACCAAGTAACATAAATTAAGTCAAAACTTACAATCTGAACTCTTACTCTATATGAATTAATGACGAACTGTTCCAAGGTCCCAAAAAATTTTTAAGTGGTCAGAACTCAGGACTTAATAACTTAACTAATAATTGTATATTTTTACATTAAACATACGAATATTGGTTAATATCGGGTTGTCCGGAAAATAATGCAGGATTTTAAGTTTTCATTAAAAAAAATCTATATAAAATATTCTGTTTACGTTTACAGGATTACTCATTTGTATGAATGTCAACACTTATTAATCCTCTTCCAAATGATATTGTTTGTTTACCTCTGTAGCATTCCGCTACTTGGAAATAATTCAGTCATCCTTATAATGTCAAAGCGAGAATTTCGTACGATTTTCTTTTACGAGTTTAAACTCGGCCGAAGCGGAGCCCAAACGGCTAGAAACATTAACCAAGTCTGGGGCGAGGGTTGTGTTAATGAGTGCACTGTGCAAAGGTGGTTTAAAAAATTTCGGGAGGGAGATTTCAGCCTTGAAGATGAAGAAGGTCGTGGAAGGCCTTCCTCTCTTAATGATGATGTTCTGCGATCAGTGGTGGAAGAAAACCCCAAAACAACTGTTCGAGAACTTGCAGAGCAACTCAAAGTCAGTAAAACGACCGTCGCTGACCACCTCAAGGCGATTGGAAAAGTGAAAAAACTCGAAAATTGGGTTCCACACTCATTAAACGATCGCCAAAAAATCAGCGCTTTGATGTTTGTGCATCACTTCTTTGTCGAAACAAAAATGACCCATTTCTGGCCAGAATTGTTACATGTGACGAAAAGTGGATTCTCTACGATAACACTAGACGTTCTGGACAGTGGCTCGACAAAGGAGAAGCTCCAAAGCCCCCAACTCATCAAAAAAAGGTAATGGTTACGGTATGGTGGGCTTCATTTGGTTTAATACACTACAGCTTCTTAAATCCTGGCGAAACCATCAATGCTGAATCATACTGTAACCAAATTAATACCATGCATCAGAAATTGGCAGTAATGAAGCCCTCTTTGGTCAATCGGAAAGGGCCCATTTTGTTGCATGACAACGCTCGACCACATGTGTCACGTGTAACGTCACAAAAATTATTGGAGCTTGGCTATGAAACTTTGCCTCACCCACCCTACTCTCCGGACCTCTCGCCTACTGACTACCATTTTTTTAGACACCTGGACCACTACTTACAACACATAATATTCAAAAATCAAACGGAACTGGAAAATGCATTTATTGACTTTATCAATTCTAAAAATTCTGAATTCTACTCAGACGGAATTAATAAGTTACCAACACGTTGGGAGAAATGTATTGAGAGTATGGGAAATTATTTTGATTAAAGAACATTGCTTTAAAGTAACTAGTTTCTTTTTTTTTGTTTAATACCAAAATCCTGCATTATTTTCCGGACAACCCAATATATATGTAGTTTTGCTGTTATAAATTATTGAAAGTTCGAAATCCGGATCGTTGCCAACAACTATTTTGTCAGCAGAACCATCACTAACAATAAGCGAATTCGATTTACTCATCTTAATTATTTCTATTGGTTTAGTACTAAAATTGAATGATAGTGATAATCAAGATGCCCAATTTTCTACTGTCTGTCATTTGTTTAGAGGAAGAAAATTGAATGATATTAAATAAATATAGATGAGATGCTCAGTTTAGCAATTTTCTATTTTACATTATTTGCCTATTACTACAAAACTTGAATGATATTGACCCAGTTTAAGATGCCAAGATGACATTTTCCATTGTGCACAATATGTTTAGTACTAATAATAAAACTGAATGATATTGGGATAGTACAAGATGCCGAGATGCTTAATTTTGTTGTGCATATTTTGCTTAGCAAGTACAGTAAAATTCTTCTATAACGATTCCTGATATAGCGATATTCCGGATATAACGATGTAAAACCGGTATCTAGTTTGGTTTGCTATTTAAAAGTGAAGAAATAAATCCGGATATAACGATTCCGGGTATAATGATATTCCGTATGTAACGATATAAAAACATACGAAAATGTTGTTTTTCATTCCGGCTATAACGATACGCATAAAAAATACGCACATACAACAGTTTTGAGCTGATGAAAAATACCTACATATGTAATTAAATTACGAATGAAACATAGGTAAGAAAAACAGGTTTTAAACGTGGTTCTTGTTTACTCTTTCCGAGAGCTATGCGTCATTCAATTTCCAATTGCCGAATTTTCTTCGAACTCTACCCTTCAAGTGCTTACATATCAGATCAGATCAGTCTTTCCTTCGTTTCCGTGGAGGTCGTGTTGTTAAAATAATGTCTTTAAATAAACGTCGTGCATTTTCTATTGAGGAAAAAATGAAAGTGATAAATAGGATCGAGAAGGGAGAGACGATAAAAAACTTGGTGTCTGAGCTTGGGCTATCCCAGTCAACGATATCGACAATTTGGAAATCCAGACAAAAAATTCAAGAAAAGTTTGAAAAAGATGTAACTTCGAAAAAAAAACTTAGAAGCAGCCAACACCAAGATTTAGAGGACGCACTTCTTGAGTGGTTTAAGGTCCAAAGAAGCCGAAATATTCCACTCAACGGCCCGATTCTACAGGAAAAGGCTAATAAATTGGCTCTTTTACTCGGAAAAGAAAACTTTGAGTGTTCGATGTCTTGGATCACCAGGTTTCGAGAGAGAAACAACATCGTGTTCGGAAGAATTAGTGGAGAATCTTCAAGTGTTCCAACCGGAGTACCCGAAAACTGGCTTCAAAACATCTGGCCAACTGTTCGAGAAAACTACACTGATGAAGACATTTATAATGCGGATGAGACCGGATTCTTTTATCGATTAACTCCAGACAAAACTTTTAGATTTAAAGGTGAAACATGTCATGGAGGAAAACATTCTAAAGAACGCGTTACAGTGTTAATTGCCAGCAACATGACGGGATCCGATAAGAGAAAACTTCTGATAATCGGAAAATCTAAATCTCCACGCTGCTTCAAAAATGTTCGAAACCTACCAGCCGATTACACAAACAATAAAAACGCGTGGATGACCAGTGAAATTTTTACCAATTGGCTCAGGCAATGGGATAAAGAACTTGAAAGAAAGAAAAAGAAAATTCTTCTGACAGTAGATAATTGTCCTTCTCATCCTGCGGTAATGAACTTAAAAAATATCAATCTCCATTTTTTACCACCAAACACAACTTCGGTTCTTCAACCGATGGACCAAGGAATAATCCAATCCCTTAAAGTAAAATTTCGCAAACGCTTGGTCTTAAAAATGTTGGATCAGTCAGACAATTTTAAAGTGTCACTACTAGATGCGATCTTAATGATTTGCGATTCATGGGATGAGGTCACTCCAAAAACCATCATAAACTGCTTTAATCATGGTTTTCGAACAGATGAAGCTGGTAACAATCAAGAAGATGAGCCTGCAAATTTTACTCAATGGGCCCAAAAACTCGATTTAAATTTTGACGGTGATGTACAGTCGTACACAGAAATTGATGCTAACATACAAACATCAGAGGAACCGACCGAAGAATCTATAGTGGCATCTATTTTAAATAAGAGCAAGGAGGAGGAGGAGGACAATGATGATACCGACGGCGCCGAAGAAGACTTCAAAATTCCAACAATGTCACAAGTGTACAGCGCTCTTGGAGTCATTCGGACGTACGTGGCCTGATGTGAATAAACCCGAAAACACTGCTTTTTTAAAAGAACTTCATAGCCACGTAAGCAAAAATTTGTACTTAAAAAAATGCAAGCAAACAAAAATTACCGATTTTTTTTAAAGAAAATTAATATGTTGCTTCAATTTGTATATAAAATTAAAATATGTATGTACATAAAAATAAACAGTAAAGTTGTTATCATTTTGAAACGCTTTTTTTCCCCACTAACCTCCCATACCCATAAATTTGTAGGTAGGTTTCATGGTTTGTTTGGTTCCGGTTGTAGCGATTTCCGGATATAACGATTTGTTTTTCTTGGTCCCCTGAAGATCGTTATAACCGGATTTTACTGCTGATTTTACTAAAATTGATTGATATTGGGCTAGTACAAGATGCCGTGATACTTAGTTTTGTTGCGCATATTTTCCTTAGTATTTACTAGCTTGAATGATATAGATCAAACATGAGATGCCAAGATGCCTATTTTTTCTAAAATTTATGATTTGCTTAGTGTGTACTACAAAGCTTAGATGATATAGATCAAATATAAGAAGCCAAGATACCTATTTTTTTCTAAAATTCATAATTTGCTTAGTATGTGCTACAAAACTTGACTCATTAGAACTTAGAAATATAAGATGCCAATTTTTTTCGAAAATGCTTAATTATTTATTTAATATGAAGTACGCACTACAAAATTTGAATGTTGTTGAGTAGGTATATGACGCAGAGTTGTCCTGTTTTTTATTATGCGTGATTTTGTTTTTATTTAGAACCAATTGAGATGGGATGAGTACATCAATTCACTGGTTGGAAAGCATAGTTCTACTCACAAACTAGTTTTAACAGTTAAACGAAATTTCGAGCATTAAATTGCATGTTACTGTTAAAACTAGTTTGTGGGCAGAACTATGCTTTCCAACCAGAGACAATGGATATCAAGATATATTTATCGGTAAGTTGTTATTAAAAACAATTTTAAAAAATTAACTTCAAAGGAAGCAACCAATCGGACTCGCCACTCCAGCAAAAATCATTAGGTTTTTCGTTGATTACCATACATTGGGTAACTATAAGAAAAACTAGGTACAAATATTAAACAAGAAGGATTTAGAGTAACTTTTAAAGGTAAGTGTTCACTTAGAAACATTCTCTCAAAAAGACAAGGTTGACAACTTGCCAAAAAGCGGGGTTTACAAACTCAATTGTAACGATTGCGATATTAAATATATAGGACAAAGTGGCAAAGAAATTAAAACGAGATTTAAAGAACACTTGCGTAAATCGAACAAATTTTCTGAATTAAAGGACATTCAAAATGAAAGAAAAAACGATTTCAATTTAAATTTAATTACAACAGTGTTACATAGTTTCAAAATGGGAGAGAACTAGATTGCTAGGAGAAATTTAAAATAAAATAGGTAAAATTAAACATGGAGATAAATACATAAATAATATAACAGATTTTGATTTGCCACCCATTTTTAACAAGTAACTAAGTAATATTTGACAAACAAATTAATCATTAATTTAAATTGATTTTCTTGCAGTTTTTATTAGGATAATGTGTTGTAATTCACGTTTATCGCACATTCAAAATTTAGGGAAATTAAAAACCAGCTCCTTCAACCTGATGAGTAGAACCATCATTTACAAAAAATTAAAAAAACAAAAGAGATTTGCCTAGTATGTACTACAAAATTTGAATGGCATAGAGCAAATATAAGATGTCAAGACGCCTTTTTTTTTAAATATATATAATTTGCTTAGGTTGAATGATATTAAGTAAATATGATATGCTAAGATGCCCATTTTTTTATTCTACATGTGTTTAATACTACAAAACTGGAATTATATAGAGAAATACAAAATGTCAACGTGCCAATTTTATTTACAGAAAATTTCAGGCCTTTTCAAACCTGACTTATTAGTAGTTTTTCTCCTATTTTTTGTTACAGAGAATATTCTCAGGTCTTTGCAAACTTTTGCAACTAATTTTTTATATTTTTTATTATACTTATTTTATTTTTTTATAGAAATGAATGGTTGTTTTACAACCTTCACGGTAACGTGATTGCTAACATAAAATGCCAAGATGCCTATTTTTTAAATTTATTATTGGGTTGTCCGGAAAATAATGCAGGATTTTAAGTTTTCATTAAAAAAAATCTATATAAAATATTCTGTTTACGTTTACAGGATTACTCATTTGTATGAATGTCAACACTTATTAATCCTCTTCCAAATGATATTGTTTGTTTACCTCTGTAGCATTCCGCTACTTGGAAATAATTCAGTCATCCTTATAATGTCAAAGCGAGAATTTCGTACGATTTTCTTTTACGAGTTTAAACTCGGCCGAAGCGGAGCCCAAACGGCTAGAAACATTAACCAAGTCTGGGGCGAGGGTTGTGTTAATGAGTGCACTGTGCAAAGGTGGTTTAAAAAATTTCGGGAGGGAGATTTCAGCCTTGAAGATGAAGAAGGTCGTGGAAGGCCTTCCTCTCTTAATGATGATGTTCTGCGATCAGTGGTGGAAGAAAACCCCAAAACAACTGTTCGAGAACTTGCAGAGCAACTCAAAGTCAGTAAAACGACCGTCGCTGACCACCTCAAGGCGATTGGAAAAGTGAAAAAACTCGAAAATTGGGTTCCACACTCATTAAACGATCGCCAAAAAAATCAGCGCTTTGATGTTTGTGCATCACTTCTTTGTCGAAACAAAAATGACCCATTTCTGGCCAGAATTGTTACATGTGACGAAAAGTGGATTCTGGACAGTGGCTCGACAAAGGAGAAGCTCCAATACATTTTCCAAAGCCCCCAACTCATCAAAAAAAGGTAATGGTTACGGTATGGTGGGCTTCATTTGGTTTAATACACTACAGCTTCTTAAATCCTGGCGAAACCATCAATGCTGAATCATACTGTAACCAAATTAATACCATGCATCAGAAATTGGCAGTAATGAAGCCCTCTTTGGTCAATCGGAAAGGGCCCATTTTGTTGCATGACAACGCTCGACCACATGTGTCACGTGTAACGTCACAAAAATTATTGGAGCTTGGCTATGAAACTTTGCCTCACCCACCCTACTCTCCGGACCTCTCGCCTACTGACTACCATTTTTTTAGACACCTGGACCACTACTTACAACACATAATATTCAAAAATCAAACGGAACTGGAAAATGCATTTATTGACTTTATCAATTCTAAAAATTCTGAATTCTACTCAGACGGAATTAATAAGTTACCAACACGTTGGGAGAAATGTATTGAGAGTATGGGAAATTATTTTGATTAAAGAACATTGCTTTAAAGTAACTAGTTTCTTTTTTTTTGTTTAATACCAAAATCCTGCATTATTTTCCGGACAACCCAATAATTTTTTTTAAACATAACTGCTCACGTCTTTGCAAACTTTGTAACTTGTTTGTACGTTTTTTAAAAGAAATCATTGGTTTTATTTTAAAATCTTCACACTAACGCTATATTTACTAAAATTACCTTTTAATATGCAGAATTTGCTTTGTATGTACTACAAAACTTGAACACCTAAGAAATATCAGATGCCAAGATGACTAATTTCTGTTGTGCTATAAATTACTTAGCATGAATGATATTGAGCAAATATAAGATGCTAAAATGTTATTATGTGCATAATTTGTTTAGTACTACAAAACTGGAATGATAGAGCTAACACGAGTTTGCACACATCTTTGCAAACTTTGTAACTTATTTGTAGTCGTTTTTCTTTTCATACATAGAAATGAATGATTTTGTTTCAAAACCTTCACAACAACACTATATTGCTTTGTACGTACTACAAAACTTGAATGACACCGAACAAATACAAGATGCCAGATGACTATTTTCTGTTGAACTATGATGTACTTATAGCTTGAATGATATTGGGCAAATAGAAGATGCTAAGATGCCTATTTATTATGTGCATAATTTGTTTAGTACTAAAAAACTGGAATGATAGAGCAACTAAAAATGCCAAGATGCTTTTTTTTTGTTACATAGTTTGTTCACGTTTGCAAACTGTAACTTATTTGTACTTTTTTTAAAAAAGAAATGAATGGTTTTGTTTTAAAACCTTCACATAACATAATATTTACTAACAAATAAACAAACGTATGTTAAGAAATTACCTCTTAATATATATAGTTTGGTTTGTATGTACAAAACTTGAATGACACCGAGCAAATACAAGACTTTTTTCTATTTAGCTATAATTTACTTAGCATTGAATGATATTGATCAAATATATGATCCAAGAAAATTCTTCGCTGTTTCAAGGAATTGCCCATGTCTAACTTATCTATAGTATGTTTGGTTGCAATGTATATGTTTTAAACCTTTCACAAGCCTACTAGGTGCAAGCAAAAACGATCAAAGAATAAGATGTCAAGATGCAGACATCTGCAAATTTACTTGTATCAAACATTTTGCTTGATAACTCTCCCACAGTTGAGGTTTAACAATTTATTTGCAGTGTCAGATATAAATTTGACGATTGGTTTAATCGACTTATTGACTTAAAACAGTGTCTGATAAATGGCAATTCGGCAATTTCCTCATATCGATATCGACCGGTCCCTGATCTGGATTTATCTGTAGAAAGTAAACTAATACAAACAATTCTGGGGCTTATACGCTTAACCTAGCTAAAAATCAATTACATCCCAAGACAGAAAACCCGATGAAATGAGCAAATAAACGTTTACCAGAATTCTTTTGTCAGCCGGACGGAGGAACAAAAGGTCAATAATTCAAAATTCACTTCCTGAGAATTGTACTGACCTATTTCCTAATGCAAAATATTCGAAGGGGAACTATTGTGCAATATTGGGTCAATTTTTCAGATCCGTAATATATTTTAGTTCTTTTTTTTCTGTTTAAACTTGTCAAGACTATTTTTCAACAGTTCAAAATAGGAAATTTTCTTTTCTGGTTTTGATAACGATAACGCTTTGATGACGACCATTTACATCGCAGCCATCAAATAAAGTCAGATCTTTCAACATTTTAGTGTCATTATTTTACCATTTTGTCTATTTAAAAAAAAAATCAAATGTGAATATCATACTGTTAAACTTTTTTTAAAATTATTTAACTTGATTAAACTGGATTTAAGGTTCATATTGACCTCCAAAGTGTTGAAGGTTTAAGAATGATTTCTGCCTGTGTACTGATTAGAACAAATTGTGATTATTTCTTGTGCAGAGGTTCGAGTGACCTGCATTCTTACAAATTAAAAAAAAAAAAGCATAAAAGAAAAATGATGTTTTTTAGGGGGACATAATAGTTTTTTAAATTTTTATTGTTATTATTTTTGTTACAATGGAATGTTTATACATACCATGGACAAGTAGGTGTAGCTGGCATACAATTCCATGTTGATTTGCTTATTTATCGCCTCTTCGCTGTCAGCGTGGAAGTTCTGACGGACTTGTGATGCTGCCATTTTCGCTGACTTATTAATTGTAGATCTCACTGGATGCTGACAATTAATAATTTGTTGATGTTTTTTGATTAAATTGGGGGGAAAAAATAGCTCGGATGGGTCGATGCGTATCGTACGACGTCTCACTGCTGAACGATGCCACTGGAAACTCCCTGTCATTATTTATACGCTCGGAAGACCTTGATCAAGAACCACTCCACCGCTCGAAATAGATTAGATTGTTTAAACAAACAATAATAATACTCGAGGATTAAAAACTGAATTTTCGATAAATAAGATGAAACTTTTAAATATATATTAAGACATGTTGTATTGTTTTTCAAAGAATTTTTTTTAATATTTGGCCTTTTTTTTGTATACTTGGCCACCATGCCTTGCAACCGTGTGGAGTATTCGTCACCGACGGGAAAACCTTCTCGCAACCGATTCAAAACAGAAATGTCAAATTTTGTAATATTTTATTTTTTGAACTTGTTCTATACTTTGAACCACTGCTTGGCCTACACCCACTGGGTCGTCACTGAAACAGGAAAAATAGTAGCCCAGGTTACTGATTATTTTATTCTTAAACATTTCACGAAACTGGCAAGAATTGTTAGCACATATTACAAAAATTTTAAACAACCAATTAATACAATTTTGATTGCCAAAAAATAAACTGTTACAATGTTAAATCATTATGCACTATCTTTTAATTGAATAGTAGATCAATCGGATGATAAGAGTACTAGATTATCAGGTTTAAAATATCAAGCGTAACAAGTTATAAATATCTAATGCTACATGATTGGATTAACACTGTCAAGATATGGGTTTGGTATTGCACCAGATATAACCAAATAATGTTTTACTGTGATATTTTAACTAAACATTTCTTTTTTGCTTTATTTTTGTTAGTTTTAGGTCTGGCAAACTACTTTGGTCATTGCCAGCCCACTCTTCTTTAGGTTTTCATTTCATACATCTTTCTTGCATTTTAAAACTTCTGATTTCTTTTACTGATACTGCAGTAACCAACTCTTTCTTTTCTTTGTCCTAGTCTCTCTGTATCTCAGGACATTGTCATTTGTGGATAAAATAACACAAATAACAAACGAAATTGACAGAAACACAAAAACATGCTAGTCTGATTGGATTTACACTATTTCAGAGTATTCGACATTCGTAGGGTAGTTGGGGATATGCCCCTCCAATTGCGCCAATAAATTATTCACACACACCAGACTTGGTTCACATTACCCTAGAGTATTCGATATTCCTCGGGGTATTTGGGGATAAATCCCTTTACTTTAATAGACTACAGTTTTGTGTGTTATATGGTTGTATTGTACATGTTTGATGATTCTACTCACAAACTGGTTTTACTGACATCCGAATTTTGAGCATTAAACCATCATCAGACCTTGCAAGCACGATTGTAAATAGTCTGCCTGAAAAACGCACTTGTAGATTAATTGTGTTTCTGATGATGGACATTTAATGCTTGAAATGAACCCATGGGTTGAATACGAAACCAGCTTTTGAATAGATCCTTTCTATTGAATTAATTCAGTCCATCAGAGCCATTTTTTAATATGCTCAATTCAAGTTTTGTATATATGTATTTTTCTATTACATCAGTAAAAATTAGTTATTAACCATTGTTGCTCTCCCAGTTTTGTAATTAGTTACTAATTATCCCTAAGGAGGTCCAGGGGCTATCTCCACTTCAACCGCCATACTGAGTTATAGGGGTAATGTTGGACATGTATCGGGCTAGTGGGTTGGGATGTGAGGCTAGTCTTTCTTGGAATGTGGAAATTTTTTTTTGGAATTGGGTTTTTCATGAAGGGTATTTGGAAATCATTGTAATGTTAATATTGGAAACAGTAGGGATTGACAATGGTTCTGAGGACTTTAGGTAAGAAGAACTGTATTCTTTGGATGTTGGAAGGTTTAGCCTCATATTTCTGATAGTCCAAATCGGTTTCAGTAATGTCTGGTAGAGTGTTAGTTTCTTTTTTGTTCTTTATAATAATTTTTATAGTAGTCTGCAGCGTCTGTTTAATTCCTGCCTTTTAGTTTTTGTATGTCAGTTTTAGGTTAGACATGAATCAAGGTCCAGATAGAATCAAAGGTAATGTATGCAGTCAGTTTTACAAGGATTGATAAGGAATATAGTATTATAGGTTTTGTTTCTGAGGGTAAAATAAATTATGGGTCTATTTTCTTTATCTTGATATGCCAGAATTTACTCCGTTCAGCCATTTGTACATGTGCCTGAAGCTCCTTTGAAGCAATTTTGCGGGATCGGGATCAGAAGCTAATACCTGAGTCGTTGGCAAAGGAAGCAAGGAGAATGGAGGGTGTAGTTGGGATATCTGAGGTAGAAGATTGGTCCTTGTGACACTCCTGCTCTTAGAGTCAGTCCAATCCTTGACAAACTTGGAAAAATCATTCTGTATGTATGAGCGAAGGATTGAAATAGAATTTGGAAGGACACATTTTAGTTTGTACATTAGACCCTTATGCCACACACGATCAAGTACTTGTGGAATGTCAAGAAAGGCCCCCATATTGTTTATGCTCAAGTGATGATATGTGGATTGCAATGCGAAAAGCCTGCTGGGTTGGCGAATGTTGTGGATGAAAGTCGATCTGATGATCTGGGAGAAGGTTAAGGGTTGGGATCAATCTTTTCAGAAGGATCTCCTCAAATGTTGTAGGAAAAAGCTTTATGGATGAGTTTGCCATGTTTTGGGAAAAGGATGTTATTGGAGTATTTCCAGCAAAGGGAAGTGAGTGGTGCGGAATATACTAATGTAGATATATGTCAATAGGATAATAGCTTGTTTGAGGAATTGAATTGAACTGACAGAGGAATTGAAACATGATCAAATCAAAGCCAGGCAATTTAGATTACAAATTTACAATAATTTTTTCCTCTGAAGGATGTGAGGTAGTATTAGTGTTCACTTTCATTAGAAGTATTATTGGGGTCGGGATTGGAGGTAGTCTGATAGAGGAATTGGGCAAAAGCGTTGGCTTTGTCAAAATCAGACAAGGTCTATAACATCCCATCTTCACGATGTAGGGGAGATGATGGAATGTGTTGTTTGTATATTACATACTAAGCAAATTATACACAATAGGCATATTGGCATCTTATACCTCCTCAATATCTTATATGTTTAAGAATTTTGCCAAAGATACATTATTCCAAATCCAAAGTTAAAATCATACCATTAATTGTTAAACATGTTAATGCGTTATAGCACAGTTCTTGTGGTACATCTGTTTTAATGTACAGTACATGTAAACATGATGATACCAACAATGTTTTTTATATGTATATGAACACATTTTCATACCATGCTAATTTTTTAATGTAATGTTCTACGATGTGTTTATATTTTAGGAGCAGTCTATATTTCAAATGAACAGGCCTTACGACCTGGTGGAATTTCTCAATCAGGAAGAACGGGCGAACCGTATTCTTCAACTCTTCGCTGAGATGAAGCGTAGGAAAAGAGAGTTGAATTTAAAATGGCTCGAGCTGAACGCCGAAGTCGAATTAGAAAAGCACATAAACATTATCAACAAAGAATGCCAGCATTTGCAAGATATCGATTTTTATGACGATGTTGTTGAATATGCTTTGGATTCTCTTAAGTAAATATAATTTGAATTTCTCCGCAATAAAACGGTCTAATTGAGATTTGATATTTAACAGCTACAATGAATTTAACGACCAAACTAAAACAAACATTGAAAATGAACTTGACTGTGCTGCTTTTACCGATTTAGACTTCAGCATGGCAACTTTTCCACATTTAAAGGTAACATTCATCTTTATTTTGGCCACTGTTGGAAGTTTTGTAATATTAAATGAGAGCATTTTAAGTACCATTAGAAGTTGTTTGCATGGTTGTTTTATACAAATATTTTATTATTTTATAAACATCTTTTTATTTTTTATTTAAATATACATATATCTTATTGTGTGCATTTTTATGTTTTGTAGAAGTATGTTTTTGTTGTCTTAGGTTTTAACACAGCCTTGGAATCTGTCGTGGGCTAGAGAGACCAATATTAATGTGCCTTTGAGTCCCGGACAGATTTACAATGGTCTTAATAAAAATAAGACTTCTTGGTTTTTATATAATTTAGCTTCATTATACTGGCGCAAGGTTGGAGATAGTCAGAGAGCGATAGACTGCATTAAAAGATCGGTTCACTTTGCTTCAAGGTACTTGCAATCAGATCATATTTTATGAGAAATGTCACTTACAAATGTGCTAGTCGTATAAAAAAAAATATTAGATGTACTCCTGCATGATTGTTTAAAAAATATTGTGTTATTTTACAGTTTGTCAAATCACTTTTTCATTTTGATTTTTGCACTGTTTTATTTATGAGTTTCTTCTGATAGCTATTAAGAAAAAATCGTAACTTTTTTTATATATAAAATTATATTCATCAAAGTGAGTCACTATCATTGAACTTTGAATGCTTTGGAATAATGATATTGTAAATATTTTACCATTAAACTTCTAACAATTATTTTAGTTAATTTAATTTAATGTGATATTAATATGTGTAGTTTGGTCTTTCGACCAGACTAATTTGCCATCCTCGCTGCTTTTCACTGTTGTTAAACCAACTGCTGAGTATGGAGACATACTAAAACTCATCTGACAGATCAAAACAGCGAGGGTTGGTGGACAAGGACAATTAGAAACAAATAGATTAATCAATCTGCAGATTTCAAGGAGAAATTAACATTGTTATAATATTTTACAATGACTGTGTTGGTTGAGTGGTTAGGGATGATTAGAGTTAGCATCCGACTTGTACTTGCCCTACTAGCGGTTCCGGGTGCAACTCCTTGCACTTGGGCTTTATTCGTGATTAATTTGAAAAAAAGTATTATAAAGCAACATTTGAGCTCTAAGTCCTCATGTTTGATAGGAATTAATTACTTTAATTAACATTGGCGATGTTTAGTTTTTATAAAGTGCACCAAAATTAATAAAAATATTCACAATGAAATGCTCATTCAAAATGTAACTTTTGACAATATCGTAAAGCTAGTAGTTTAGGCACTGACAATGTTTAGGAAGAGATTATCTACCTTCAATTAAAACTCAATGTTATGTTTATATTAATTTTATATAAATACTCAATTAATTATACACAATTTTTTTTTCTCGAAATGGCATGGGCGATTGAAGTCGGGGTAGCTCAAGTGGTAGAGCAGCGGCATATTGAGCCGAAAGTTGTGGGTTCGAATCCCGCCTGTGACACAAATTTTTCATTTCGAAAAAAAATTGTGTATAATTAATTGAGTATTTATATAATTATTAGAAGCTGATAAAATTTAATATTAATTTTATTTTTATTTTGAGAATTTCCTCCTTTGGTTTGCACGGTGATAACCCTGAAATTTGATCCTTACCGATCAACTTGGTCTGCTTATGGAGGTTGATCTGTCAGACGTATTTTGACATTTTGCCATCTTCAGTGTGTCTTGAGGCAGGCAGGTGGTCAATTTCGGGCTTGACTTCACTCGTGAGTTTGAACTACTTAAATACAAACTCCTCCTTTCCCCTCCTCACTGAAGATGGTGCAAAAGTTCAAGTAGTTCAACAAACCCATTATCCATTAAAAAAAACCATGGGCTCTCTGGGATTCAAACCCAGAACCACTAGCATGGCAAATATGAGTCAGACACCATAACCACTTGGCCACCACAGTCTCCATTGAGGTATATACAGTGTAAACTTGCACAAAGTTTTTAGTTTGATTATATATTGTCAAAAGGAACCCTAAAGATAAAATGGTTAATTAATTATCCTAGTTACAAAGTGGTGGAATTCTGAAATGTGTCATCAGTGGAATAATAATTTTCACTAATTTATTATTTTCGTTTTTAGGGAACATAAATACACTCCTTTGTTGAACTTAGGAGTTATGTTGCAAAAAGCTCAGTGCATGGCCGAGGCTGCTATACTGCTGCACAGTTCAGTTGATCATGCACCTCGTAATGCCAAAGGCCATTTTGCCTTGGCTAATGTGTACACGATCCTAGGCGATTATGAAAGGTAAAAAATAAAATCGTAGGCAATATTTTAGTTTGTCAGTTTGATCCATGTCCCTTTTTCAGGTCCTTGGATTGTTACAACAATGCATTGAAAATTGATCCTGATTGGAGCATGGCCAAAAACGCAAAACAGGCGATATTGTGCCATAACAAATTGAACCATCAACTAAGTCGATTAAGAGTGTAAATGGAGTTTTTTTTGTTTTTGTTTTTTTACTTTATGATCAGTAAATATTGCGACTAGTACATTCTATATCTTAATTTAGTTCACTCAACAACATAAAAACAGAAGTTCACCAGCTGACTGAAATGCAGGAGAATTTGAGGAAAGACCAAGAAGAAATATACATAAATAATGATTCTCCTCTTAAGAAAACCATTTCACAAATTTTAGCTCTCGGTAATTTTTTTAGTTTATATTTTGGGTCTTCCCTAATAAAATAATATAAAAAAACTTTATCTCAGACACTTGATTTTAATTATCTTGTTTATTCATTTCATTTTTTTTCTTCTTTTAAGAACCTGTAATTTACGCATTTGATATGGCGTCCATGTAACATTAGACAATAAATAACTGTAGAAATTAATCTCTTTTATGTTCTTTAAGATTATTTTGATACTTTTAAGACGTTAAATAACAAATTTGTAATTGTTTTGATTATTTTATTATTTATTTTTTAGAAGAAAAGTTCAACTCAGAATCCTCCAGTGATGATTTTGCTACAAAATCATTTCAGCATTACAACTTATTTAGGCCAGTCGATACAGACAGTTTATCATTGCATATACTTTTTACTAAAGTTCTATCCCTTGTAAGTTTTCTTATTAATAGTATAAATTGAACATTTATTTGTTTATTCTATTTTTTTTTTTTCAGTCAAATAAAATATCAGAGGATACATTACAATTTCTACCGTTAAAAGACACCCGTGTACCTCTGAGAGAACGATTAAATAATGGAAAAGAAAGCTGACACCTGTTGATTGATTTATTAATCAATAATTTGTCTCATAAAATTTGGTTTAATTCTGGTCTCATTAACCAAAAAGTATCGATCTGTACAAAGAAGAAGGAAATTTCAATCTTACCAACAGATTTTGCTGATACTGCATTTATTAAATCTGCAAAGCAACTAAGCGTTTTATTTTATCATAACCCCTATATTAAAGTTCAAACAAAACTATTTTGAATCAGGTCAAACTATTACTAACAATCAGGTCTACTTGTTGTCCCACAATGGAATTTCTAATAATTATAGAAGGTAATAATTTTTAAATATATTTTTGTAATAAATTGTCGCAATCGCACAAACAAGTAGATCATCAAAAAATAAATTAATGTTAAGATCTCTTTTTGAGGCCTGCAAAGGGTTGAATCTGTAGTTTGGTCTTCTCTGAACGTACTGGTTTGCTTAACCTTGCTATTTTGTCACATCAGACCACAATCTGATTAAGTATTCCACATTTTGCACCTCTTCAATAAGCTCAAGGTGTTCTTGGATGAGGTTGCTTGGATAGGATTCAAATTAAAAGACAAAATAGCGATATCGTCTGTGAAGGTGGTGATGACAGTATTTGAGGTAGGTATGTTAGCAATATAGATGATATACAGGATGGTACCAAGAATGTTCCCTTATAGGACTATAATTATTAAAGAGATTGATTACTTTATTTATCCATCTGTATATTTTACATAAGCATAGTTCATAAAATGCTAAAACTGTGTACTATTTACAGCAGAAATGACATATCACTCCCTTCTCCAAACACCCTTAATCATTAGCTTTTATAACAAATAAGCTGCATTTTTTCAATTTCTTTCTTGATCATTTATTACTTACTTATAATTTAATTTATACTAGTGTTAATTTATATTTATAATTTTGTTATTTTTTTTCTTTTGCAGTTGATAAAAAAAAATCACAAATAAACTTCATTAAATTTTATCAATCTACAAAGTAAATTGTTGTAAATAACAATCAAAGAGAAATATATGATAAACAATAATAACATTATACTAGAAGGAGAGTCAATAGCAAACATTTTAAAATGTTATTTATAATTAATGGATGTTTTCAATTTTTATTATCAATCTTGAATGTTTGTAACACATACTGTACTTGATAAGCAAAACAACTATAGATAATGATTAAAAATAAAAATTCTTTGAAAATATGTCTAAACTGCACCAAAATTGAAATTACGTTTAAAAATAATATGTGAAGATTTTGGAATTCTATCACAGACAGACAGAGTGAAGGAGAGAAGATGTGAAAAGATAAAAGAAAGAAAACAAGTAGAATAAAGAGCGAGATAGATAGAAGAACAAAACTGAGTGAATTATATATTTAAAAAGAGCTAGAATGTAACAGAGACAGCTTGATAGGAAAGATAGAACGATATAGACGGACAGAGTGAAAGAGGAAGAGGAAATGCAAAAGAGATGGTAGAAGAAAGAAAAAAGAAACAGACTGGAAAGAGAGAGATAAAGAAAAAGAAAGGGTATAAAGAAAGACAGAGTGAAAGAGAGAATGTAAAAGATAAAAGAAAGAAACCGATAGAAGAAAGAGAGAGAAGAACAAATCTAAGTTAATTATGTATTAAAAAGTACTAGGGTGTAAGAGAGACGTAGGAAAGATAGAAAATAAAAGTGTGTAAAGAAAGATATAGACAGACAGAGTGAAAAAGGGAATATAAAAGAGATGAAGGAAGGAAGAGAAAAGAACAGAATGGGAAAATAGAGAAAGAGAGAGATAAAGAAAAACAGAGGGTATAAAGAAAGACACAGACAGGCAGAGTGAAAGAAAGTCATAAAAAGATCAAAAAAGAGAACTGATAGAAGAGAGAGAGTGAGAGAGAGAGAGAGAGAGGAGAAGAAGAAGAACGAAACTGAGTGAATCATGAATTGAAAAAGAGCTAGGGTGTTACAGAGACAGTTTGATAGGAAAAACAGAAAGGACGAGTGTGCAAACAAAGATGTAGACATGCAATGTGAAAAATGAGTGCTTAATTGGCGATAGAAGACAGTTAGAAAAAAGAAACAGACGTGTAGAAAAAATTAATGAAGAGAAAGAAGAAAGACAAAGAAGGACAAAAAAACAAGTGAATGATGTATTTAATAGAAAGGGCAAGAGTGGAACAGAGGGTATGTAGGAGATAAAAGAAAGAACACAAATATAAATAAGAGTGAGAAAGAGAGAGTGAGAGAGTTACAAAGTATAAAAGAGACCGCTTGAAAGGAAAGATAGAAAGTACGAATGAGCAAAGAAATAAAGAATACTTAATATGCTATAGAAGACAGCTGGGGGGGGGGAGGCAGTGAATAGTGTGTAAGACAGAAGGACAAAAACAAGTGAATGATGTATTTAGTAGAAAGAAAGAGAGTATAACAGAGCGAATGTAAGAGATAAAGAAAAGAAAGCAAATATAATAAAGTGTGTGTGTGTGAGAAAAAAGAGAAAGAAGAACAAAAAACAAGTTAATGATGTATTTAATAGAAAGAGCAAGAGTGTAACAGAGAGTATGTAAGAGATAAAAGAAAGAGACTAAATTTAATAAAAAGTGAGAGAGAAAGTAAAAAAGGGACAGCTTGGTAGGAAAGATAGAAAGAACAAATGAGCAAAAAAAGATGTAGATGGACAAAGTGAAAGATAGAATACTTAATATGTGATAGAAGACAGCTAGAAAGAAAAAAAACAGGCAGAGAACAGACTGAAAGATGGTGTGTAAGACAGAAGGACAAAAACAAGTGAATGATGTATTATTGTATATGTAGGGTAACAGAGCGAATGTAAGAGATAAAAGAAAGAAAATAAATAGAATTAAGAGTGAGAGAGGGAATATGAGTGTGCTCTTATGTTTATACTTTAAATAAATTTTCTATACTTTATCCATTGTCAATGTATTATTTTTATGAAAATATGTGTTTTTAAACTTATATTAAGACTTTAGTCTTTAAAATTGATTTTTTCTACAAAAACTGATTGAAGGTATTTATGATTAATTTGGCAATGAAATATTTTGTGTAAATAAGGGCTTGAACTTTGAAAGTGGTTGAACTTGGCGGCGAAGGAAGGCAACGAGCAATAATAACCTAATTCCTGAAAACAATCCTGAGGTTAGAAAATGCCCAGCGGAAGTGTTAAAATGGCGTGAAGTTCGGTTTGATTGAATTCAAATTCCACTGGACTCTAAATGGGTTTGAATTATGGCTTTGAAGTCTGAATCCGGAGGAGTCCCATTTGCCCAGGTAAAGCGCAGCTTTTGACAGGGACGACACGTTTTTCTCATTAATGGGGGAAAAGCACGAGGGCCGCCGTGTCCGGGGAATGCAACACGTCTCGCAAGATCTGCCAGCCGTTGAGCCGGTGTCACACGAATTGCGTATTCTGATAAACACGAGTTTCGAGTAGTAGCCGAGCTTTTTACGGCCGAATTGCCACGCCGGCTAATTAATCGAGCGAACGGGTTTCCTTCCCCCGGTCGGCTTCACGCCTTCTCGCCACATGTTTCTGGAAATCCTCCCCGACCAAAACAAACCTTCTCCACGTCCTCTCGCCGTTCGGAAACCCCGGCCACGGCGGATTTATCTCGAAAAAGCCCTTAAAAGCTCATCCCTTCAAATATTCTCTTCCAGATGAACGAAATTGGCGCTATGGCGGAGCAGCTGGCTGCTGCCGTCGAGCTCACGATGAACCCGAACGCTTCGCAGGCCGAGCGTCTCGAGGCGTACAACGCCTGTGAGGTCTTCAAAGAGAAGAGCCCATTCTGCATCCAATGCGGCCTCTACCTCGCCCAGAGGCCTCACTACTCCCAGTTCGTCAGGCACTTCGGCCTCCAGCTCATGGAGCACTGCATCAAGTACCGCTGGTATAATTTGAACCACGGAGAAAAATTATTTATTAAGGTATTTGACAAATAGCATGTTATATAAATCTACAGTAAACTCGAACATAAAAATGGTCAACAAATAAAATCCTACATAGTTTGACAGCATATTTTTCAGCTTGGACAATCCATTGGGTCTAATATGCTATGTTATAATTAAAGAAAAATAATAATTGATATGAAAACTAACATCCAACTACCTGTTGAGTGTGGACAACTCTTGTCAGACCACTTTAAAATACTTTTGCTTAATAAAATTCCACAGGCACTGCCAGGTTTTTCAATTTTACTTTAGTTACTTCACTTAATAAATTCCAATTAATTATTCTTTTCATCTAACGTGTGTGGTGTGTCGAACCTCCCAGGCACTCTCAACACGACACACAAGAATGGCACAATTACGCAGAAAACAAACACTTTGAGCCCTGAAGATGATCTTAAGAAAGATCGAAACGTTGGCATGATAAAGAAAATGTTTTTCTAAAACCTACGTCACACCAGACCACATCTCACAATCTCTGAATAATTTTCATCCGTTTTTTGATGAGATGAAAAATTAGTGTCATGAGCTGGATTCGAACCCATGACTTTCGGCTCAATACACCGCTGTCCTATCCACTTGAGCTATCGTGATTTCGATCCCCTCGGACACCAACTTCCCATTTCCACTCAACTGTTGGAATTTTTCCCGCTGTTTGTCATTTTTCAAATGCCGTGTAATCAGGATTCGATTCTCGGTGACTTATGAAGTGGCCACAGGGGGCTATTAGTGAAGTAATTACTTCTTTTAATTAATTAATTAATCCGTGTTTGTTTAGTGGCCAGAATTGACCATATTAATTATTCGAATTAATTATTCTTTGATGTCTCAGGAATTGGGATCCTAATGAGTCAGCCAGTGCATTCTTCCTGTGTGTATTTTCAATTAATGCAAAATTAAGTAATAATTAATAAGGCTAAGCCACTTGATGGCCAGCTGTCAGTAAGACCCATTAGATATGCCTTAATTAAAATTTCATTATGGAGTAAATTCATAGAGAAATGCTTCTGGGAATTATTAAAAGTAGATATTTCTTGCTTCTCTTTTTGTTGGATCTTTTCTGGATTATAAAAACTTCATAAGCTTTTCCAACTTTTATTTTTTACCTATATTATGTATTTTACGTGTGTATTTCCAGGCTCTTTCTGCTCTTTTTTAAAATTATTGTCTTAATTAAAATATGCTAATTAAATTCTGATTCAGGTTGCACATCTTTTCTTTATATTTTTTCAGATTTACATTGTTGTCAAATAATATATATTGTTTCCAACAACTTTTTACTATTATTTTCTTAATCTAAAATCTTCCGTCATTAAAATCCGTTACATGATTTTTGCGTCTAAATGGTTTGATAGATTAAGAGTAGGGCTTGTTCAGGTCAAGTAAATATATCAATTTAATTTTTTAGTTATGTACATATATTGTTTAGACATTGTTCAGTGGACCTACAACACATAAAATGCGTAAATGAAAATTAATTTTGTAATATTAATTTCCGTTTGTTTATTTGCATGACCTCTCAATGCAATATTGCACAATGTCTCAAGTATGTTTTTGATTTTAAACATTGGTTGGTCTATGCATGTGCTTTACTATGTATTGGTTGGAAGAATTGTTTGCCAGATTCTTCTTCACTACAAAGTCTGCACTTAAGTTCATGTGTTCTTAACCATTGCGAGACTTGACAAATTATTTCGGGCTTGGAGGCTCCCTAGGCTCAGTGATGCATTGTTTCTCTCTCTCTCTCTCTCTCTCTCTCTCTCTCTCTCTCTCTCTCTCTCTCTCTCGCTTTCTCTTTTATTCTTTTTTTTTCTCCGCATTTTAAGAGCTCTAGCTCGACCGTGTGAGTAGTAACATAAATGTGAAATGTGAATAGGAAATGGACAACACCTCACACATCCTTCCTTTCATGTCCTTTTCATCTGTGAACCACTTTCTTCTGTTCACAATCTGGCCTCTAACTTTTGCTTAAATTGCAACAGTTTTTTCTTGAAAACCATTCGGCCACAATATCTCCTCCGTCTCATTGGGAGTTTTTTTTTAACTTTTGTCTATTTCTCGCCTCTGCTCTTCCCAGCCCTCTACTCTTTCTTCTCTACCAACTATAATATTGCCTTTCTGATTTTTCATTTTTTGTCTGCCAAGTGTCGTAAGTTTTAGTTTTACATTGTTTACTTTCTTAGTAATTTTTGGATTTTTATATACATATATTGTGTATATATATAATTTTTTTTTCAATTGTGTACTAGTGTGTATATTTGTCAATACATATATAAAGTTGAGCTAAATAAATCGGTAATCAATATTTATTTATTTTATTTTTTTGCTATTAAGTTTTGTGTTTTGACAATTTTCACAAACTATAAAAAGAAATCTTTTGGTATGTTCCTTGGGATGAATTTGGTTTGATGTTAAGTTTGAAGTAAGAAACAGTATTGTTCAAAGCTATTTTTAAAATATTTTTTATACCAATTGAGCTGTAGATTTTTTAAGTATTATGCTTTATGGTAAAAAAAAAACTTTCAATTAATCCTTTAACAATTAATTAATCAATAATTATTACATAGTTATACCTTTGTAAATTTGGATCCAATGTTTGTTATAACTTACACATTTCTTCTTTGCCACTTTAAATCAATTTCATAAAATTATTCCATTATCATTATTATTTAAACTTGGATGAGTTAAAATTTTTTTATTACATTTCTATATTTATTGAAACACAACGATCTGTATATTAAGCATTAAAAGAGTTACAAATAACTACGTCTCTAGACATGAATTGTAAGAATGAATTGCTGATCCTTTTAATGCCATTCAATTTTAATTGAATGTGAGAATTAGAACACAACTATCATCCTAATAAATACTATAAGAGAAGAATTTCACATTAGTGATTAATGTGTATGTCAAATGTAATATTTAACAATATTATGCTATATATGTATGAAATATATGATATATTTTAATGACATATTTGGCTGACTACCGTATTTATTAGGATATTTACTTTAGTTGTAATTCAGGTTTTTCTCACAAGTTGGCAGGGCTTATAATTCATGCTAGGGTTGTGTTTGTCATTTATTCAACCTGACGATGAGCGTTTAATGCTTGAAATTTGGATCGTTAAAAAGAACAAATCTGTGATTAAGAGTCATCGTTTACAAAAATTGAATTTACATACTCGCCCCACGTTCATCATTTCTAAACATTTTTATTGTTCTTAATTTTCTAAATTTGTTTATGTGCAGGAAAATGCGATGAAATTGGTTGAATGTGGTATGGACTCCTTGTTGGAGGACGAGGCGCATATGAGGGATGTCCTGTCGAGAGTTGTCGTCGAAATGATAAAAAGGGAATGGCCTCAGCAATGGGGAACTTTGCTAGCGGAATTGAACGAATGCAGTTCCAAGGGGTGCGTCCAGACCGAACTCGTACTCCACGTTTTACTGAGGCTTGTTGAAGACGTTGCTGTTCTTCAAGTGAGCCAATTAAATTAAATTTTATCTGCGCAACTCTTTATGTTTTTTTTGTTAAACTATCTGTATAATGATTTTAATTTTTTATAGAATCTCGAATCGATACAAAGGCGAAAAGATTTATATCAAGCGCTCACTTTGAACATGGCAGACTTGTTCACTTTTTTTAGAGGCCTAATAGAAAAACATTACGAACTATATCAGAGTAATTTGGGTAATTTACCGGTTGCGAATTCTCACGCCCGGGTGGTTCTGGTAATTAAATTATATATTTTTTTCTTTTACTTCTTCTTCTTTTTTTTTTTTTCTTGTTTATATTATTTTAAGTTATTATTTTATGATAATCACAGTTGTGCTTGAACTGTAGTAAATATCATTAATAAAATAACAATAAACTTACATTTTGTTAACAAAGTTTCTTTTGTTGTAAGGTTGTTTTACTTACACTTAGTGGATTTGTCGAATGGGTATCGATGGTTCACATAATGGCAGAAGAAGGAAGACTGCTGCAGATACTGTGCCTATTATTAAATAACGAAATTTTTCAAGACGGAGCAGCCGAATGCCTTCTGCAGGTCAGTAAAATCGCTCTCTTCTTCATTAATTCCACATAGAAATAAAACGTCTGCTTGTCATCTTTGGCAGTCAAGAAGATAATAATGTCAAATTATTTTAGGGCTAACAAGAATTGTTTTTATAATACTTTTTGACCACTTGGTCTTTCTATGGTTCTATTTTTGGTACTCACAAAGATTCAGTATTTTCTTATTCACTCATAAAAATATTGGCTTATTTTCTAACAAATAAGGATTTCTATTTAGTTTATTTTATAAAAATGCTGATAAGCTAAATCTAAATAGTAGTTTGGTCATTTCTGATCTTCCAGGTTTTCTTTCCTATCCTAGTTGGCTAAGCCTAATATTCACTGGGATTCTTTGAACCGACATTACACGAAGTAATGATTTATCATTATCATTATGAGGTCCTGAATTCACTCGTGACACTAATTTTTCTTCTCAATAAACTTTGCATAAAATTTGGAAATAATAATAATAAGCTGATAATTAAATAATCAAAGGATAGTAAATTAAAACTCCCATTGCTAATCATACATTGTATTGCAACTAAATGATGCTGCGAAGTTTTAATATTGGTGGTAAAGGGGAAATTCAAATAATTCATTTTGGTGAGAGGGGTAGAGATCGCAATAGCTCAAGTGGTTAAAGCTCCCTAGGATTTTGAGGTGAAGGTCGTGTTTTGTGTCCTGATCATAACACTAATTTTTTTTTCTCTCAACCGTCTTTGCATGAAAATAACAATAAATGCAGAAAGTTGTAGATTCACAAATTATTTCATGTGGGATCAGTGTAAGAATGATCCTTTGAACACTTCAAAAATGGAAGAGAGAAAGTTGTACCATAATTTTGTTGCAAAGGACTATACTGCAACATGAATCGTGATGGATGCGGTTTATTGTTGTGCTTGTCTGGTGGTGGACAAGCAATGAATGTAGCACAGATTCTGAATTGCAATAGTCAATTCATAGTCCCTGTGAATACTAGATTTTAAGCTTGTTAGATACATTTTATTAACATTTCATAATTTTAATTATTGGGGACCATGGTAGGTAGGTGGTTAGAATGATACAATTTCGGCTCTTAAACCCTGCAGTTGTGCATTCTAATCTTATTGTATCCAATGGCCCTTTTTTTACGCATGTAATATATACACATCTCTTTGGCTAATAAGCATATTTTATAAAGACATTTAAAAAAAAAAAAGTGGATTTGTGGGTGGACAAAATGTACACATCCATGATGATTGGGAAGTGCCATGATCTACAATAAATATTAGTAGTAAAAGTATAAATACTTTTTTTCATCTCAACTAAAAACCTTAATTAATTGTAATGTATTAATTGGTCAAGCGGACCACGAAATTAGTGAAATTAAGGAATAAATATTAGGTTGGTGCAAAATTAACGCAGGTTTTGAAAATTTGTTTTATTTTCGCAGGTGCTTGTCATATAAACCAAGTTAAAACCTCAAATCTATTTTATGGATTATAATAAATACTTTACTGTTATATTTTATACAAAACATTTTAGTTATATCGAATTTTATGAGTGAGGAACAGTGCGAAATTAACTATGTCCAAACTAGATTTTCATCAAATTTATTTATACAAATTTAAACTTGAGGGAAGTGCATCCCAAACCATATGTAACATCAATAACAGTTTGGGGAGGGAGAAAGCATTAGCGAATGCACAGTGCAGTGATGGTTTCTGATATTTCAATCTCGAAGACAGAGAAGGTCGCGGACAGCCTTCTGTGGTGGACGACGACCAACTCAAAACGTTGATTGAAGTAAATTTACATAAGACAATATGGGAAATTGCAGAAGAACTTAGTGTTGACCACTCAACTGTTGTTAGTCATCTGGAGCACTTGGTAAAGTAAAGAAGCTCGACAAATTGGTACCGCACGAACTAGCCGAAGCCCAAAGAAATCAACGCTTAGAAATTTGCTCGTATCTTCTGTTGCACCGTCAAAATGATCCATTTCTTGAACGAATCATCACATGGGATGTGAAATGGATTCTGTATCATAGCAGGAGGCATATGTGATTGGACAAGGATAAAGTGCCAAACACTGAAATCTAACCTACCCCCAAACAGGATTATAGTGACTGTTTGGTGGTGAACTGCTGGGTTGGTCACTATAATTTCCATAATTATGGTGAAACTAACACAACAGAGAAATATTGCCAAGAAATTGACAAAATGCATGGGAAACTGCAACATTGTCCAGCATTGGTGGGGCCGATTCTTCTTCACAATAACGCCAGGTCAAATGTCACCATCTCAACTCTGGAAACTTACAGACTTCCGATATGAAACCTTACCGCACCCTCCATATTCATCTGATCTCTTACCTACAGACTTCCACTTTTTTAGGCATTTTGATCACCTTTTGAGGAATAAAATTTGTAGTGGTGCGGTGAAGCAGAAAATGTCCTCTGAGACTTTATAGTCAAAATAAAGATTTTTAGGTCAGCAGAATAAAACTGCTTGTTACTCGTTGGCAAAGATGTATAGATTGTGGTGGAAAATATTTGGAATAGATTTCCATTGTTTTATTCAAATTAAAAACAGTTTTGTTTGCCTTTTTAAAACCTGCCTTATTTTTGCACCAGCCCAGTACAAGTATGGATTGGCAAATCAGGATGATCAGAAATGACCAAATTGAAGGTTCACACAGACCTCAACACATAAATCTCACATAAAAACCATCTTAAATATTGATTATTTCTTGGTATTATTTCATTATTGAAGAAACCTAAGAGCTTGTTTCATTGAAAACTGACAATTTGAATAAATATCCCATATTTAAGAGAAGGGAAAATGGCCACCATACAACTGTAAATTTATGTAACACATTTTTAACTTTTGAGTTCCCAGAGTTGATTATAATGTTGGTTCAAATAAAATATTTAAAAAATTGTCTATTAAATAGACTTGAGACAAAAAAAAATTTATGTTATTTTTTCATATGTTATAGATTGTTTCTAGAAAAGGAAAAGTAGAAGAAAGAAGGCCGCTTTTGATATTATTTAGTGAAGATGCTATGAGGTGCATATTTCAAGCTGCCGATACATCAGTTCATAAAAATTATCAGTTTCTTAAAAAACTCACTAGGGTATTTGTCAAAAAATTATTATCCTTAAAAAAAAAAAATTGCACACCCAATTAATATTTTTCATTATAGGTATTAACAAGTTTAGGTACTCAATTGTGTTCATTGTGGAGCAAGGAAACGGAACCGAGACCTCCAAATTTTGAGATGTACCTCGAGGCCATAGTGACATTTACAAGGCACAGTTCACTTTCTCTTGTATACTACGCTAATTCCTTGTGGATATCTCTTATGAAGCACGAACAGATCTCTAAAGACGACGTGTTTCTCAGTTTTGTTCCAAAATGGGTTGAAGCTGCTGGGCCAAAAATTTTAAAGGTATGCGTGTAAACACGACTTTATCTTTATGCCTTGTATTAAATTTTTGCTTGGTTGTGTAATTTAATGCTTTTTTTAAGGTCCGTTACCCATCATCAAAATCAAATGTTGAACCTAATACCCCAGAAGCATATGCTGTAATGGACTACGATGCGGAAGATGAGTTCAATGGATTTTTTCATAGGTTTAGAGTTGAACTGGTGGACACTTTTAAACAAGTACTATTCTTATTTTTCTAATTATTGCTGTATGCTTATAAATTATAATTGTTGTAACTAATATGTTTGTTAAATTTGTTTTCAGGCAACATTAGTTTCCCCGCTTGTAACTTACTCGTATGTTGAACGATGGCTTGGCGCGCAAATACAAAAAACGGTGACACATGTAAATACAGAAGTGTGCAGTCAAAATTCACTATCTTATCTGGAATGGGATGCATGTTCTGTGGTAAGAAAAAATACAAATCTTAAGTTTTATGGCAAATTATTTTTTCCTGTTTTTTCGTCAAGAAGTCAGCCAGGTACTTGCAGTAAATGGATTTGAATACGGCTAACAATGACAAAAATATTTACAGCACATAATTTCTTTGAACTGGTTCTTTTCAAATTAAATTTAATTCTTAGTTTTTATAAAAGAGAATTTATTCTAAATATTTTCCAACACAATCTATACATTTTTGTTGAGTAATAAGCTTTTATTCAACTTACAAAAAAATGTTTATTTGGACTCTTCAACTTCACCGCATTCTCTAAAAACATTATCCGTCAAGATGTGATCAAAATGAGAGGTCGGGTGAAATATGGAGGGTGCGGTAAGGTTTCATATCCTAAACCCAGAAACACTTACCAGATGCAAATCCAAAGTCCAATTTTCCATAAGCTTGTGTTACCCTCGTGCACATTTTCCCGATGCCATGCAACGCTACCCTACTCTACGCTCTGCGATCCCCACTGTCCAGATTTTCATCGGGTTGCATCATCGAGTACAGTCGAAAAAAAAAGTACCGAACACTCATATTTTTATTCAAACTACATTTATTATTGCTGTTATATTAATTACAGTATACTTATTTTAATATAAACCAATTTAACCGAGATCAAAAATTCATTAGTTTTTATTTAAAAAAATATTAATTTTAATGGTTTGGTAGAAAAATTATCAAAACTGGAATACAATTTTTTGATATAATGTATTTAACTAACAATTTATTACATAGTTTTGCACATAAAATTTAACTAACAATTTATTTTATGGTTTTGCTCATAAAATTACACCATTTTCGTCGAGTAGCTTCAGAACAGGACACTCATATTTTTTGTAGTTTATTTCAAATTCTTAAAATTATACACTATTTTTGTCAAGTAGCTTCAGAACAGGACACTCATATTTTTTGTAGTTTTATTTCAAACCAAGTATATTTAATTTTGTATGTGTAGAGATTAGTGACTGTTAATCGATAGTTATTCAGATATCGTGAGATGCGGTCTGGTGTGATGTAGGTTTCAGAAAAACATTTTCTTTATCGTGCCAACGTTTCGATCTTTTATTGAGATCATCTTCAGGGCCTGGGATTTACAAACAATGTTTACATTTAACAAAAAATCCTAAATGTATTTGTTAAATGTAAACATTGTTTGTAAATCCCAGGCCCTGAAGATGATCTCAACAAAAGATCGAAACATTGGCACGATAAAGAAAATGTTTTTCTGAAACCTACATCACACCCGACCGCATCTCACAATATCTGAATAACTTTAATTTTGTAGTTGTATTAATTACAACATTCTTATTTTAATATAAACCAAATTAAACGAGATAAAAATTCATGTTTTTATAAAAATTATTTAATTATGATGGTTAGGAAGAAAATTTATAAAAACACCGGAATAACTTTATTTAAAACAATTAAGTTTAACAAACAATTTATTACATAGTTGTGCTCATAAAATTTTAAAATTTAACTAACAATTTGTTTCATGGTTTTGCTCATAAAATTACACCATTTTCGTCGAGTAGCTTCACAACAGGACACTCATAGTTTTTGTAGTTTATTTCCAATTCATAAAATTACACCATTTTTGTCGAGTAGCTTCAGAACAGGACACTCATATTTTTTGTAGTTTTATTTCAAACTAAGTATATGTAATTTTGTCGTTATATTAATTACAACATTCGTATTTTAATGTAAACCAAATTAAACGAGATCAAAAATTCATGAGTTTTTATAAAAAATATTTAATTATAGTTATTTAGATATCGTGAGATGCGGTCGGGAGTGATGTAGGTTTCAGAAAAACATTTTCTTTATCGTGCCAATGTTTCGATCTTTTGTTGAGATCATCTTCAGGGCCTGGGATTTACAAACAATGTTTACATTTAACAAAAAATCCTAAATGTATTTGTTAAATGTAAACATTGTTTGTAAATCCCAGGCCCTGAAGATGATCTCAATAAAAGATCGAAACGTTGGCACGATAAAGAAAATGTTTTTCTGAAACCTACATCACTCCCGACCGCATCTCACGATATCTAAATAACTATAGATTAACGGTCACTAATCTCTACACATATTTAATTATGATGGTTAAGAAGAAACTTTGTCAAAACACCGGAATAACTTTATTTAAAACAATTAAGTTTAACAAACAATTTATTACATGGTTGTGTTTATAAAATTTAACTCAATAATAATCCATTAAGAACAAAAGAAGCGATTGTGATACATGCTGTGTGACTGTACGTGGTGTGCGCTTGATGTCGTATAGGTGTGCACGCCCTACCAAAATGTGACAAGGCGTCGGGTAGCATTGGGTAGCAAAACATAGCGTTGCATCGGGTAAGAATGTTCCCCGCTTAAGTCTACAAGTTTCTGCAGGATTGACTTTGTGAAATCTGGCCTGGCGTTATCGTGAAGAAGAATTGGCCCCACTAATGTTGCAGTTTCCCATGCATTGTGTGTGGAAAAATCATTTTTCTATATTTGTTTTAATTTCAAGTTTAGATTATAGTCCTGACGAAGGTAATAGGCCAAAAGTTTGACTACAATTTTTGAATTTTTGTTTGTTGTCCTCCTCGATGCTTTTACAAATATAAAAAATTTTATGTAAAAATATCCCCTCGATCTTATTTATCTTAGTCCAATTTACAACAGATTAAGCAGCAACCAATGTATATGTAATTTATTCTTAGGCATTAGATGCTGTTCTGGGAAAACTTGTGATGGCGAAGGAACGGCCTGATGTTGCAAGCGGATTAAGCCTCCTTGACCTTTGTATAGCTTTAGAACCTACTGATCCTCTAGTTCTCTCAGCGATTTTGTCCTGTATATCTGCACTGTTTGTGTTCCTCAGTATGGCACCTCCTGAAACTACTGCAGTAAGTAGCACTGTGTTAAATTATGTTTTTTCTTTCTTTTTTCTGTAATTGTACTAGTTGAATAATGTTTGTAGTTTTATCTGCCAAGAGTGCTCGACAAAATTTTCGCTACTCTTGTCTTCACACTGCCTGGGGAGCCCAAAAATCAAAGGTCGAGAGGCGTCAAAAATCTACGAAGGCACGCAGCTTCATTAATGATCAAAATAGCGCAAAAATATCCCCTTTTGTTACTCCCTGTATTTTCCCGGATTCACAGCATAGTCGCTAGCTTGCAGAGTAAACCCCATACGCTATCCACGATGGAGGCGATATGTCTACAGGTAATATAAACTTTTTGACGATCCGTTCAAATTTAAAATTAATTAATGCGAGATATGTTTTAGGAAGCCCTATTGTTAATAAGCAACCATTTATGCGACTATGAAAGGCAATGCAAATTCATCGGTGAAGTCATTACTCCAATTTCTCAGCCTTGGCTTAGCCTGACAAATTCAGCCTTCGTTTCAACAAGTGCTTTCATGTCTTATGTCGGATTGGACAAACCACCTGTCGAACCCAGTACTGATGACACAAATGGACAAAATCGTTCTCAGGTCTGTTGGCAACTTTTAATTAAATTTAAATTTAAGTTTTAATATGAGGTTGTGCGTTCCAAGAAATATTTGAGTTTCACAGTTGGCAAAGGACTTCTTGGTTTAGAAACAATCCCATCCTGAAGAGAAATTCGTCTTACATTCCGTAATCAAGTGATTGAAATTATTATAAACCTTTTAATTAGATTTTCTTTTTAATAAATAAATAGATAATTATTTTACAAATATGAATTTTTAATTTTTTTTTTTTTTTTTTTATAGATTATGTGGTGTTTGGATGTTATGATGGCTGTTGTGAAAAGGTGTATGTGGCCGTCTGACCCAGAGCTCGCAGCCAGAGGTGGTTTTTTGGTCTGTACTACAGGAGTCGGAAATCCGATTTACCGAAACCCGGCGACTCCTCATGTTTTGCCTCTTCTTCCCGGCCTTTTGGCGTTGTCAAATGTCCTCAATGGGCTTTCAACACCACCCGCAATGGCTCAAATATCTGAAGTAAAATTTCTTATCAAATAAAATTGAAAACAAGTAAAAAGTAACGCGTTAATTAAACGTTTATTTTCAGGGTTACAAAGGTGCTTATTTAATGCTTGAAGTGGAAAAGCAGAATCTTTTAGGAATCGGATGCGGATCATCGGATACGATGGGGAGCGATACAAAAGGCGAGACGACCCCCCTCCAAAGGATGCAGAACTTTATTTCCAGCGTCCATGACGACGTTTCACACACACTGGCCAATGCTTTCCATTCTCTTGCACATGATATTTACCATGTGCAAAACCTTGCCTTATCTCTGACAAATTCTGTCCTTACTAATTTAGAGGTAATTTGCCCTTGTTTTTATGTTTAATATTGAAATAATCATTGTTTTTTTTGTTTTTTTTGACGCAATATTTAAATAATTTGTTTTTTTAGTATGTTCCAGATTATAGATTACGGGTATTGGTAAGGGTTTTCATGAAATCTTTGGTTACAAGTTGTCCAGTTACTTGCTACGATTCAGTTCTTCTTCCTGTATTAGCTCATTTTACACCATACAGTGAGTGTATTAAATAAAACGTTTATAAAAATTTAAACATTTAATAAATAATTGAAATATTTTAAATAGTGTACACTAGATTAACTGCAAGATGGCAACACTTATCTGAATTAAATGAAAACGGAAGCTTAGACGAAGAAAATAAAGATACTCAGGTAAGATCAGAAGTGTTTCCTTTAAATGGATTTATTTTGAAACGAGTCATCCCTTTGTAGGAAATGTTAGAGGACATGTTAAACAGAACTTTGACTAGGGAGTATTTAGATGTGTTAAAAGTTTTACTCTACGGTGTTATGGAATCCGAAGAGACCGAGGTTAAACCACCGCAGCAGAGCGAAGCGATTAGCGAACTGGGGGTCAAAGTTTTACAATTCGACACGACCTGCCATGCCGTCACGCTATGCCTTCTCAGCGCGTTGTCCTGGGCCGACAGCACTGCGAGTCTGAAGAGCACAGGACTCGTAGGCGGAGTTATATCGTTTCTCGTCCAAAATGGAAAAGTGGGGCCGGAGTTAGCGGCTCACACCATTTCCGCTGTACTACTCGGTTTACAACAGCACGGACAACACGATGCCAATTTAGGTTCCTTACTTGTACTCGGTACCCTTTTGTACGGAATCCTAAGACCAATAGCACCAAATATTCCTCAGGTGAATGTTTCTTTATTGCGATGTTTTTTTAAATTGAATGTATCGTATAAAAACCAAATTAATGTTGATTTTGAATTAAGGTAATGAAACAAATACCGGATGTGAGCGTCTTCGATCTACAGAAACTTGATGACAGGATGATGAAAGAGGTCCAGAAAGGAAATAAAGTGGATAAAGCCAAAAAAGAAATGTTTAAAAAGGTCACAAGCCCTGTGAGTAACATTCAATACAATTTTTTATTTACCTAAATAGCACTTGCTGTTATTTATTAAATTTATGTTCTAGCTAATTGGCCAAAACATGGGGCAGCTGTTTCGGAAAAAAGTCGCGATGCGGGATTTGCCTAGGCTGGATAACAACAAGCAGAAGCTGTGCTTGGATCCTCTTGCTTCTAACGAGAACGGCCTGTCAAGCTTGTTCAGGATGTAGCCATTGTTGATAAATAGAAAAATTCATTTTGTACTAGTCCTTTGCACCCCTCGTCGAATATGTCCTGCGATCGACAACGTGTTAATTTTATTGTTTTTGTTATTGGATTGTTATTGCCATTTTGTTTTATTACTCCTGAGTAAGCTCAAATTTTTCATTCATTTTTTCTTTACAGAACAAATGCCCAAGCCATACATTCCACACTGGTTATTTGCCTAGGACAAAATGGCTACTACTTGTAATATTCCTTTTTATTTTTCTATCTAAAGACCTCTTTTTTGTTTTCATTTTGACCTGTAATAAGTTGTTTTTGAAAAATATTGTTGACTGAATGAGAAGCATTTATTTTGAAGATAAATTACAAATTAAAGTTTTTACTAGACTGTCTACTGTGGACCATTAATTTGAATAAATTGTGATGTTAGTTAATTTATTGTGATCCGATCACAAAATTTATATAATACATTGGAAATGAATAATTAACTTCTTTCAGTCTTTTATTTTTTATTTTGCTCATAAATTTTGATTTAAGAGCCAAAATTTCTTTTGTTTTTAATTATCATAAAATATTTTTATTGTCCAGTAGAACAGAGGTACGTTCATGGAATAAAAATGTAATCATTATATATATATTTTAATATTTTTTCTTTTTGTAAATAAGGAACAAAATCTTTGTTCAGTGATTTTAAATTGTTATAAAAATTTAGTTTCATTACGATTGCGTGAATTTTTGTATAATAATAAATTTTTTGTCTTTGTAAATAAAATGTGCGCGAACTATCAGTATGTTGAACAAACTTAAAATTTTCCTTATTTGAAGGAAATCCAAGTGATATAAATATGGGGAAGATTAAGGTTTAACTGATAATTGTCTACTTTGATATTCCTTGCCCGTGCATACAGAATAAAATTGAAGTAATATATATATATAAAAGCTAATTATTTATTTAAATCTCATTTTAGAACCCCCTCTCCAGTGCGTAATATCACCAGTGTGAATCGGGGACAGCTGTGGCCATGTGATCTGACTTATTTGCACTTGCGGTTCAAATCCACACTTTTATTTGATTTTAATTTGGAAAAATATTGTCAAGTGGTTCTAATCATTCATCCATAATGCCCAACAGTAAGTTGGTCATTCTCTTGATCTTAGATGAATTACTTTACTTTTATTTTTATATTAATTTTAAAAACTAATTTATTTTTTAATAGTAATGGCTAACAAAATGCTGGAATTTGTTACGAAATCTATAATTTTCAATTATTATTATTTATTTTTTTTAATATTTAGTCTATTCCTGCTCGTATTGTCTGACAGTCTGTAAATGAATTTTGACGTTTTTCTTTGGTCAGACAGATGATCAAACTACAGGTTTAATTCAATGATTAAAAATGTTTTGCCAGCTAAGTAATTGTTCAAGAATGAGGGAACATGTTTAGAACATCATTGGACCATAAAAAGTATGGTATGGGAAAACTAATATTTTATATTATAATGTACAACTCATTGCCTAACTTTGAATTAAATACAAACTTGAGTATATAAGAAATTCAATCTGCAGATACGATTGCCAAACAAGAACAAAGAACTTTTGAAACCGGTAACTAGGTGTAACTTGATTCTTAGCATACACCATGACCATTTAATGAATGGCTATTTTTTCTTTTTTTTTTACGAGGGTTCGCAACAGCAGAGGTCATATAAACCCTCACGGTACTGGTTTTTTTTTCCCTTATGATCTATGCATATTAGCCATGGTGACGATTCTTGTATGTGTTCATATTTGGTTGGGGAGGGGGGGGTGTCGTGAAAAAAGGGCCAGAGTAATCGAACCCACGACCGCGGCGTGTATGAGCCGAGTCTCTCACGCTAACCACTCGGCTACCGCGGTCCCTGTCAGGGTGCTGGTGCTTTTGAAAAAAAAAAAAAAAAACATTTGTAAGTATGTCGGGTTCGAACAAAGGGTTGCTGGATTCGAACCTGGGACCTTCACCTTACAGTGATGAGCGCCGTGTCAACCATTGCGGCCACTGATGCCCCCCTAATGAATGGCTATTGTTATCTTTACTGGTATTTTTCTAAGATCTCTAAAAACTTGTACTTCATACTTCATTTAAAATTAAATAAATGTCATAGAATGTAAGAAACACCACAGGAATAATGAAAAAATGTTCCCATAGATAGGTGATTTTTGAAATTAATAAACCATAAAAATTAAACCAGACTGTTATACATTTTTTTATTTATATGTGTGGTGTTTAGTGACTGTTAGTTAATAATAATTTGGAGATTGTGAGATGCGGTCTGGTGAGATGTAGGTCTAGAAAAACATTTTCTTTATCGTGCCAATGTTACAAATACATGTAGGATGTGAAAAAAGTGAATTTATACAATGCTAGAAATTTTAAATCACTCAAAGTATTGAGTTGTATTTGTACTCACTCAAAGTTTAGTTTTCTGTGTAGATGTGTCATTATTGTGTGTCGTGTTGAGAGTGCCAGTGTGATATTGATGTTTTATGTTTGTGTACATTGGATTTTGAAGGGGTGGGGAAGGAAGACGGCATAGAAAGACATTTTTATATGAGTCGGCTTGTTTGAGGTAAAAGGAGCCGACAATGGGAAAGAATGGGTACTGGTTCAGCCTGATTATCCTATCAGAATTATATAGACGGGGATAATTAGGGAAAGGAAAGTTAAATTGTTGAAGAATTAGACTATGTAGAAATGTTTGATGTGAGGACTCGGTAATGATTGTTTTATGTTTTGTGTGATGTGATTTTTATTGTTATGGAACTAGAATTATTATAAACAAAATTCACTAGTTTCGTGGTCCGCTTGACCAATTAATATCTTACAATTAATTAAGGTTTTCAGTTGAGATAAAAAAGTCAATGGCACGAGCGGGATTCGAACCCACGATCTTCGGCTTGAAACGCCGCTGCTCTACCACTTGAGCTATCGTGACCTCGATCCACTCGGATACCAACCTCCCATCTCAACGATCGTGGGTTCGAATCCCGCTCGTGCCATTGACTTTTTTATTTCAACTGAAAACCTTAATTAATTGTAAGATTATAAACAAAAGTTCCTCAGCAAAATATACTCGTGGCCTTTCTTGGATTCATACTTGTATTTAAAAATACAATTTGTACCTATTTATGTACTTAAACTTGCTCCACTAGGATGACAAAATAATTGATAATCCTTCATCAGGTATAATTAACCTAAGTGACTGCTGATGAGAAATGTATTTACCCTCCAACCCATTCAAGTAGCGTTCTAAGACATGGTAGGGGTGTTCACTGTTTCCAAATCAGCTTGATATGCCCTATTCTAATAAATTGGGAATGTCCTACCTTCTCAGTCTCAATATTTAAGAATTTATCTACCAATCAATCCATTCCACAGATAGTGCCACTAAGCTGGATTATGTGCTCAGTGAGTGCCTTTTTGTTCCATCACCTTTAGTTGTTATTGCAATGACACTATGGTCCAAAATTTACCGAGGTGTCGATTACAATGGTCCACTTAGCATGTAGTTACCATGGTGTTTCTACCCTCTCACCCTACTTGTCGTCATTGTCACATCACCTACAAGCCTACCTCTTCTGGTACCACAAGACTTCTTTCTAACAACCTTATTACCTACCATATGGGGGCCAAAATGTGCTTTTCCACATTGGAAACAAATTTGCAAGCTTATATGTAAGCTCATAAGGTGAGGGAAAACTCATAAGGTGGGTTTGAGATGGGAAGTTGATGTCCGAGTGGATCGAGGTCACGATAGCTCAAGTAGTGGAGCAGCGGCGTATCTAGCCGAAGATCGTGGGTTCGAATCCCCCTCGTGCCATTAACTTTTTTTCATCTAAACTAAAAACCTTAATTAATTGTAATGTATTAATTGGTCAAGCGGACCACAAAATTAGTGAACTTATATGTAAGGTTCGTATAATTAAATCCTTGTTCTTTCTTATGCACCGCATATTTTCTTGATACTCGATTTCTTACCATTATCTTCTTATAACGACAGCTTATACCAAATTACAAATAAAGTCTTTTTGACGATGCATAGATACTGATTGCGAGCCCTCGATCCACCTTATTTGGCTTGTACTTATCCTTAACAATTTACAAATAAGGGAATAATTTTTACAGCGCAAATGAACTTAATGGTTTTTTTAAAAACAAATTCCAAGTATTTAAATAGACTTTTTTTCTTTTTTGTTGCTTTGTAGAAACTAAGAACTTGTCCACAATAGCAGGTAGGTCGAAGGTCCGGTTACCAAATTTCGGCCCTTCAAAGGATTCAAATTTGAAATAAACCGTTTGGAAAAATCTTCTTAAACCAATTGCCCAGAATTGGCATGAAAAGGCCGGACGTACCATGAAACCGGTCTGTTGGCCCACAATTGTCACTGACTGCAGTAAACGGGGCAGTAAATTTCACCCTGTCCCTGGAGGGCACTGGCACTGACAACCCTTTCAAATTTAACACTAATGAAAAATTTCGACGAAAACCATTACCTTATTTTGGACAGCTTGATCGAAACTGATTTCGCTTTGAAGCTTTATAAAACGTTTATGAGCTTTTTGGCAGGCGTTAAAAAAACATTAAGTGAACTTTTAAATTCGAGTAATGCCGACCAATCCTTGCAAACTGCTTTATGGACAACACTACTACTTTATAATGAAACCATATTTCCACTCGATGCTTTTAGAATATATTTTTATAATTTTAACAAATTTACAAAGTCACAGAGATATTTAAAAACAAGCAAGTTGATTGACAAATACAGAAAATACTAGACAATTGACAATTTAGCGACATGGCTAGTAAAAGGTTCAGGGGTTGTTAAATAAAATGAAACTGCCCGTTTGGATTGTTAAAGACCAATAAAATAGAATAGATCAACTCCAAAGTAATTGTTTTTAAAGCCCCATAAAACGGCCAATTTCATTTTTTTTTATTTCGTCCTGGAGTTCGTCCCAGGACACGCTACGGGAAGGAAATGAATGTGAAAAACGATATTATTAATCATCAACCGAGTTAGAAGGAGACGGCCGGTATAGTAATTAACCCGTTGAAATATGCTTAGTTCTATTTTTGTCGAAGGCCCATTAAAACTAATCGGTTTGGGAACATATTTCCGAGACAAATTATTCAGGATGTATTAATTTCGAGATGGCCCATATTTAAAAGATTTATTTTCGTGTGAATCAAGGTAGAGGAAATCTCAGATTGAAACTTTATTTCGGAATACGACTTTTTTCCCGAGTTTCAAACTGAAAGGCACATCTACTTGCAACTCATGTTAGACATTATTCAAATGGCTTGTTTTTGAAGCCTGTTTTTTATTTTCGCCGGGTTCATCGGGACGTGTTGATTGAAACTTGTCAAAAATAATAAAATGTGATAGAAAGAGGGGTAGGGAGAGAAAGGAGAGCGAGAGATAGAGAGGTCTATTATAAGTAGAAGAAAATAGAGAGAAATATATAAGGGCAGAGAGATATGAGAGGAGAAAGAGAAGATAAATATAACGAGATTAGTGTCCCAGATGGAAATAGAGAGGGAAAGAAAATGTAAGGATAGAGATATACAAAAAAGGTATAAGTAATGGTGTCAGAAGTGAGATAAAAATTATACTGATGCAGAGTTAGAGAGAAATGTATAAGGAAAAAGAAAGAAAAAATATTAGAGAGAAAGAGAGGAAAACTACATGAAAGAGAGGGAGAAGTAGAGATTCGTAGAGAAATATTTAGGGAGTGAATAAGACAGTGATACAAGGAGTGAGAATGTGAGTGAGAAAGAAAAAGATAAAAGTTGTGGTATAACGTTTGGATATTGAAAGAGAAATGCATGTAGATATATTTAGAGATAAAGAAAGGTGTAAGGAGAGAGGTAAGAGAGGCAGAGAGGTGAGAGAGGAAGAGGGGAGAGAGAGAGAGAGAGAGAGAGAGAGAGAGAGAGAGAGAGGTCTAGTATAAGTAAAAGAAAATAGAGAGAAATATATAAGGGCAGAGAGATATGAGAGGAGAAAGAGAAGATAAATATAACGAGATTAGTGTCACAGAGATGGAAAGAAAATGTAAGGATAGAGATATACAAAAAAGGTATAAGAAGAAAGTAATGGTGTCAGAAGTAAAAATTATACTGATGCAGAGTTAGAGAGAAATGTATAAGGAGAAAGAAAGAAAAAATAGTAGAGAGAAAAGTATAAGGAGAGAGAGAAGGAGAATGGAGGAAAACTACATGAAAGAGAGGGAGAAGTAGAGATTCGTAGAGAATTATTTAGGGAGTGAATGAGACAGGGGTGAGAATGTGAGTGAGAAAGAAAAGGATAAAAGTTGTGGTATAAAGTTTGGATATTGAAAGAGAAATGCATATAGACATATTTAGAGATAAAGAAAGGTGTAAGGTGAGAGGTGAGAGAGGGAGAGGGAGAGGGAGAGGGAGAGAGAGAGAGAGAGAGAGAGAGAGAGAGAGAGAGAATGGGTGAATGGATGAATATCGTTTTATTTAACAGATTTCGAAAAGTTAGGTCGCTAACCATCTCTCTTACAATTAGAGAAAAAGAGAAGGATAAAAGGAATAACGAGATAGTGGCAGAGAGGGGAAAGGGAGTGATTCAAGGAGAGATATATAAAAGAAGAGAGTGAGAGAAATAGAGGGGATGAGAGTGTGAGTGAGAAAGAAAAGTACAAAAGTTATGGTATCTCGCTTGGATAGTGACAGAGAAGGGCAAATAGAATTATATAGAGATAGAGAAAGGTATAAGTTCAGAAGTGAATAAGAAAAAGAAAGAAAGAGAGAGAAGGACAGAGTGAGAGGGAGAAAGAGAAGGTAGTCAGAGATTCAAAGACAGGGAAGGTCGCAGTAGGCCTTCTGTGGTGGACGACGACCAACTCAAAACGTCGATTGAAGAAAATCACATAAGACAATATAGGAAATTGCAGAAGAGCTTAGTGTTGACCACTCGACCATTGTTAGCCATTTGGAGCACTTGGTAAAGTAAAGAAGCTCGACAAATTGGTACCACACGAATTAGCCGAAGCCCAAAGAAATCAACGCATAGAAATTTTCACGTATCTTCTGTTGCACCATCAAAATTATCCATTTCTTAGTCGAAGCACTTCCCGAAACCAAACCTACACTCACAAAAAGTTATGGTGACTGTTCGGTAGTTTACTGCTGGGGTTGGTCACGATAATTTCCTGAATTATCTCAGCAGAGAAATATTGCCAAGACATTGACAAAATGCACCGGAAACTTCAACGTCTTTGTCCAGTATTGGTAGGGACCACCGTTCCTCTTCACGATAACGCCAGGCCAGATGTCGCAATGACAACCCTGCGGAAACATAAGCACTTAGACGTAGACCGCACCCTCCATATTAACCCGACTTCTCACCTACAGACTTCCACTTTTTTACGCATTTTGATCACTTTCTTGAGCAATAAAATTTTTAGAGAACGAAAACGCCTACCAAAACTTTATAGTAATTCGAAATGAAGATTTTTATGAGAGCGGAATAAAAACGCTTATTACACGTTTGCAAAATGTATAGATTGTGATGGTAAATATTTCGAAGAAATTTTCTTTATTTTATAAAAATTAAAAATAGTTTTGATTGCCTTTTCAAAACCTGCATTATTTTTGCACCAGCCCAATAATTAAATCTTGAACTAATTCATTGTCAATTGGATAATAAAATAGGAATTGTTCTATTTGTACAAAAATAAAGCAGTTTCAAAAGGGGAAAAACAATTAAATCAATGAATGGAATGAGAAAAGTTGTTTAGTACAGAGTGGGCACGTTTTGTAAATTGAAAAGAAATCCGTCAAAGCGTCTGGTAGAGCATTGTCGGCTATGGGAAGGGGTTCCTTCATCCTTGTGAGCGTAGGCACGTCCGGCTTACGGCCCACGGGGGTGTCTGGGAAAAAAGGAACTGGTAGGATCGTCCGTCGTGGGGGAGGAAGCGCCAAAGAAAAATAATTTGTAGCCCCCGGGGCCTTGGCAGGGTCTCATTGTCGGCGTTTCCGCCCTTCTGCCAGTCCCGTTGAGTGACAGTCGTAAAATAAAAGTCAGATCCCTTCGAGCCGGCCGTTTAGCGGGCGAACAGGAAATCCGATCTTCGGACCTTTACCTGACTGACACCCACCTTCTCAGCCCCACGTCGCAATTATTTGCTCTTTCTCTTCTCGAAAAAGGGTCACAATGAGGAGTCAATTAAAATATGCCAAAAATCCTTTCATTTGATATTGTTGGATGAATAACATAAAAAACCTAAATCTGAAACAGTGGTAGTCAGAGTTCGTCCTGTTTTGCCCATAAAAAAATTGTTAAGCTTTCATTCTGCCATCTATGATGGTAGTATTTTCGATATTTTCCAGTTATAAATTAAGCTAACAAAATACATGCACACACACACATACATACATATCGGTACATAACTGGATTGAAATATAGAGATATATAGATAGACAGAAAGTAGATAGATAGGTTGATCGATTAGATATAGATAGACAGTTATATAGATAGATAGATAGATAGGTTGGTAGATAGTTAGATATATATAGATAGATAGACAGATAGAGATATATAGATAGATATGTAGATAAATAGATAGATATGTAGATAGAAAGAGAGAGAGAGAGAGAGAGAGAGAGAGAGAGAGAGAGAGAGAGAGAGAGAGAGAGAGCCGAAAAAATCACGAGTTGTAGAGGAGAAAAGAAGAGATATTGAGAAAGGAAAAAATGAATGTGAGAGTCAGAGATCTTCTAGAGATAAAGACTCTTTCTCAGTTAGAAAGAGAGAGAGAGATGGGAGATGAAATCATAAGTTGGAGAGGAGAGATGTATAGATGCTGAGAAAGTGATAGAATGAATGTGAGAGAGTAAAGGATCTAAAAATAGAAGGGATAAATAGACAGAAAGAGGGAGACATATAGTAGATGTGAGAAAAGGTATAGAAAGATAGAGTAAGTGAGAGAGAGACAGTGAGAGAGGAAAAGTCAACGATATCGAGGAAGATATGTTAGGAAGAATTCACTAATTTCGTGGTCCGCTTGAGCAATTAATATACTACAATTAATTAAGGTTTTTTTTTAGTTGAGATAAAAAAGTCAATGGCACGAGCGGGATTCGAACCCACGATCTTCGGCTAGTTACGCCGCTGCTCTACCACTTGAGCTATCGTGACCTCGATCCACTCGGACACCAACTTTCCATCTCAACCTCACCTTTTGAATTTTCCCTCCTTTTTGCCATTTTTCAAATGTGTAATCGGGTTGGATTCTCGACGACAAATGAAATGGCCACGGAGAGCTTTAGTGAAGTATACTTCATTTTTAATAATTAAATTCACTAATTCCCGCTTGACCAATTAACTTTTTTATCTCAACTAAAAAAAAACACCTTAATTTGTAGTTAGGAAGAATGTTAGAGAGCTAGAACATAGCGATAGCGAAGGTAAACACGGAGTAAGAAGTTATGAGGGAGAAGTTGTATATGAAAGAATATACATGAGAGATAGTGAGCGTAAGAAAAGGAAGGGAGAAATTAAGAGTGAGTAAGATAGACAGATTGATAGACAAAGAAAGAGGGGGGAGAAAGAGAAAGAAAGGGAATGCCGGTGAATTCACGAGATGGTGAGGAGAGGTGTAGAGTTGCTGAGAAAGTGAAAGAATGACGAGAATAATGAAAATGAGAAAGTTGGAGAAGAGTTCCATTTTATCCAATGAAACTATCCACAATGATCTCAATATAACACTTCTTACGTACCACAATAATAATCCCACGTAGTTTCATACTTTATAAAATCCATCTTTGAAGATAGCAAGCATAAATGTCAATTTGACAAAAGGTGGTAGCCTATTAAAAACAACGAAAATTACGGAAGAAGTTGAGAGGGAGTACGTAATAGAATATGAGAGAAGCGGTTGGTAAAAAAAGAGAGAGAAAGAGTGAGAGTATGAGAGATATCACATGACTTATTTACAATGGTATACAAGACCTTTGTGAACTTATATACTAGAATTTTGAGTTCTGCCAAAGGTTACAATATACAATGAAACGAATCCATACATCTCGTACTTATGTCTTCAGAAAAATCTTAAATTTTCCATTTTATCCAATGAAACTATCCACATTGATCTTAATACAATACTTCTTACGTCCCACAAAAATAGTTCCACGTGGTTTCATAATTTATAAAATCCATCTTTGAAGATTGAAGCAGAAATAAATGACAATTTGACAAAAGGTAGCCTATTATCGTTATTATTTGGAAAGTTTTGTTAGAATGAATTCTCTTCTTCGGTGCATCGCCGACTTTCTACTAGCTTTTCTTCCTATCCGCTCTCTCCCAACAGTTCAAATTCATTTCGAAGAATATTTTTCTGTACCGTTAGCTTCCCTTTAGGTTTTTCGTGTAAACTAAATAAACCAAGCCTCCAAAGTTGATGACTACCTTCATTTTTCCCTTTTGCTTCCTATACATTCGGCGAGAAAACCGACAATTTTTGGACAGATATCTTTGTTTACCTTCCCTGGAATCGAAATTGTCCTTGGAGGTAAAATAAAAGCTTGCAGGTCACTGAAGACACGAAGGTAAGAGCGCGAAGGAGAGGGGTTGATCCTCTCTCAGGGTGTAGTGGGGCCTTCTACCAGAAACGGCATAGTGCATACCGTTCCCATTCGGGCTTCAGCCCTCGTCCGATCATCGTCTCGAATTTGTTCCGAAATCGTTTCGAATCGTATTTCCGAGCCGGAGAGAGGGTAGAACGACGTGGGGACGAGTCCAGTCATCGATCTTCGCCTGCGCTTCACGTACTGCAAACCTCCTGTTGCACCGTCGCAATCGTGAGTTTTACCTCTTTCTCATTTGGGATTTTGCAACTTCTCCTTCTAATGATGGGTCTCCCAGGGTAAAAAAACTACTTCTTTCACTATTATTTTTATTCCCATGTTCTTTACATTTGAACTGTTGAAGCTAACTATGTCAAACTGGACTCCAGATCTTATTTGTTGCTGGTTCATTTTATATTTATAAATCTTGATAAGAAACAAATTTCACACTAAACAATAAAATAAATAAAGCAAAGATCGCACATATCAATTTTTTAAAAATATTAATCAACACACACAGATTTAAATTACAATAGAAAGTAACTGGGCATGAAAACTTCAAATAATCCGTTTACTTTTAAAAATAATAATCTATTTATGTTTAGTGGTCTAATTGACCAAATTACTTCTTTCAATTAATTATTCTTTTTATGTAAGGTCTTGAGATGAAATGAGCCGAAGGTCGTGGGTTCGAATCCCGCTCGTGACACTAATTTTTTCATCTCAACCAAGACCTTACAAAAAGAGAATATTTAAAAATAATAACGATGGGTTTTACGCTTTACTCGATAAGAGTTACGTGGTTGATTTATCCATTATAAGGGCAACAAATTATAAATTAATTAAATAAATTTAACGTTTATTTTAAAGATAAGTATGCGTGAAAATTGCATGGAAGCGTCAGAAGGTAATGTACATTATGAAATTTCAAAAATCGGTTCAACAGCTACAATAAGAAATATAACAATAAAATATCATCGGCTGAGAAATCCCCACGTAGGATTTAAACTAATCCGATTTACAGAGTAAAATGTAAAAAACGTTTTTGAAAATTCGTGAATGGTTTCACAATCCAGGGGGGGGGGTCTGTACTAATGTAGTAGCGAGTATAAGCGGACCAGGGCGTTCATGGATCATCCCATTCTCGACCAATGTACGTGTTTATTGCTTGTAAGATGGGTGGATTATTTGAGAATGTTTTTATTTTTTATCCTTATGTGAACTTAATTATATGTAATTTTGGGTCTGTTTACAAAAAAATTAATTCTTCAACGAATTGAGCAAGTGGAATATATATTAAAGAAATACATCTGCTACAATTTCCTGAAATCAAAATATAAAAAGGCATCACAATATGATCGAATAATTAAATCGTGGGGGGCTAATGATTAAAAATATTATCTTTAACCCTGCATTAACTCTAATATTTATTATTGTCCCGACATGAGATAAGCGAAATATCACTTCTTATCTAAGTCACAAACACTTTGTAAGCGTATTTGTTATTGTTGTTCAATTCATATTGAGAAATAGGCGAATGAATGGAACAATTTGTTGAGGTGTAGAAGCACCGATGACAAAACTGGTCGGTCCGAATAAATATTTGGACGATAATAAAAGTTTATTTACGATGTGCATTGGTATTTGTGACACGGTCGTTCCAAAAGCATGACGAATGTTGGTCGTTTTATTTCAAATCTAATAATTTCAGCCAGATAGTGCCAGTTTAAACAATATAGTTCTATCTACTTATATAGTGTTCCACTCTGATGGATATTCTATGTAAAAACCAAATAGTTACATTGAGTGTAATGGACAGATGGCGGATATTTGGTTTAATGACTAGCTAGGCAGACATTTTATATAATGAACAACCGGGTTGGCATTAGAGATAATGGACCTAAAGGGTAGGCACCATACACAGTGACCATTTTTTAAGACATTATGTATAATGACTAAAATAATTAGCTGTATGGTATAATGAACAACAGGGTAGATTTTTTGTTTAACGATTAGATAGGTATATATTTGGTGTAATGAACAATCAAGTTGGCATATATATTTGGTGTAATGAACAATCAAGTTGGCATATATTTGGTGTAATGAACAATCAAGTTGGCATATATTTGGTGTAATGAACAATCAAATTGGCATATATTTCGTGTAATGAACATCAAGTTGGCATATATTTCGTGTAATGAACAATCAAGTTGGCATATATTTCGTGTAATGAACAATCAAGTTGGCATATATTTCGTGTAATGAACAATCAAGTCGACAAATATTCGGTTAAAACACTCAAGTTGGCATATATTTGGTGTAATGAATAATCAAGCTGGCATATATTTGGTGTAATGCACAATCAAGTCGACTATATTTGGTCTAAAACCATCAAGTTGGCGTATATTTGGTGTAATGAATAATCAAGCTGGCATATATTTGGTGTAATGCACAATCAAGTCGACATATATTTGGTGTAAAACAATCAAGTTGGCATATATTTGATGTAATGAACAATCAAGTTGACGTTAAACGGATAGCACCATACATGTTGGCCAACCTGGTGGACATTATGTTTAATGATTAAACAGTTAGACATATTTGGTCGAAATTTTCTATAATGAACCACCAGGTTTACATTAAACATAATGATCCAAATACTGAGTGACCCTCTTGGTGTACATTATGTACGTATAATGAATAAATATTTAGATTTTAAATATTTTGTATAATGCAAAATCGGGCGGATGTTTAATGACTAGCTAGGCCGACATTTTGTATAATGAGCAACCGGGTGTGCTTTATTAATAATCCATTATATTTCGTGGTCCGATTGACCAAATAACTTTTTTCAATCAATTAATATTTTTATGTAAGGTATTGGTTGAAATGAAAAAGTTAGTATCTCGAGCGGGATGCGAATGTCAAACGGAAAGGCCCTGTACACAGTGGCATTCTGTATAATCATTAGTTTGGCATTATGTTTAATGTTCAATTGAGGGGGCATCATACATATTGCTATTCTGTATAATCGTTAGTTTGACATTATGTTTAATGTTCAATTGAGGGGGCATCATACATATTGACATTCTGTATAAACATTAGTTTGACATTATGTTTGCTGTTCAAGTGAGTGGACATCATACATATTGCCATTTTGTATAATCACTCGTTTGACATTATGGATAATTTTGTGTGGTGATTATTGACCGTTAGTCGTTGATTATTCGGGAATCGTGAGATGCGGTCTGGTGTGACGTAGGTTTTAGAAAAACATTTTCTTTGTCGTGCCGACGTTTCGATCTTTATTGAGATCATCTTCAGGGCTCAAAGAGTTTGTTTTCTGCGTAATTGTGCCATTCTTGCGTGTCATGTTGAGGGTGCCATTATGGATAATGGATTGTTTACGAAGTGAGATTTATTTTTGAGATCTGCGGGGTGTGTACTTTGGCCTTACCATTTTGATCTGCGTATCCTCACTGTTTTGGACAGACCGAAACAACAAATCTACGTTGCACGTTGCGACTATACTTTGTGGACATTCTGTATAATGCGTAGAAGTAGGGAGAATTATTTTACAATGACAAACCAGTATATTTTTAATAACGACTAGTCTGGAATGCGTTTTGCGTAATAACAACCGGGTAAACAGTATACGCAATTTTAATTAACTGTAATTTTTATCAAAAAGTATACTTAATTAAAATAATTAATAAGGTCAATTGTGACTACTAAATACACACATGGATTATACGTAATGATCAATCGGTTAGACTTTACTCTTAAATAATGACTGATGAAAGTTGAAAGTTTTACAATGGCCAAATTTCCTTTGTTTGTGTCACTAGGCTAGTCATTATGTACATCGTCAATTTATCTTAAAGTTTTATTTGGTTCCTATATTGAAAGGGAAATGTTTCCTTTTGAAATGAAAGGTTTTTTGTTTTATTACAACACAAAAACCACAATTTTGACATTAAATCTTACAACACCCAAGGCAGAATGTTCGCAATAGAAATATCAAGGTTAGAAAAGACTTCATTGAAATAAGTTATCGTTTTGTTCCGCTCTAAAAAACTAATTTATCATTTGCCATGTTTTAACTTGGAATGAAATGAAAATAAAGTAGAGCATAAGTTTAGGATTCAATTTTTATAACTATTGTGGTCTTCAGATGTCATGGTTGACAAACAACCATAGAAAAATTGTAAACATTATGTTTATGCAGGCTAACTATGAAATTTTCTTCTGACAATAAAGTAAGATTTAAATTCTCTGTATTATCCTGTTAAACATTTTACAAGAAATATTTCTGTTTGTAGGAATTGTATTCTCTCTTGAATCGTTCTGAAGATTATCCATTTTATAATTTAAAAAAGGAAACAAATCGTGTCGTTTTTGTAGGATTATCATCTGGGACAAACGAAAAACTGGGTTTACGTTGTGAAAGGAGAAAAATGAAAAGGAAAAAAGGCGAACTTAATTAGATTTCAACCCAGAGGTTTTTTGAACGGCAATTCCCCTAGTTAAAACAATGATTGCGGTTTCGTCGAAAAATGAAAATAGGGAAATCATATTGCACAAAGCTTCTCATAGCTTTCTAACACTAAAAGTCGTTCCCACGAAACCCCTTTCCCTACTTTTCATTACACCTTCTCACTTTGCCTTTTCGAAAACGGGGTTCTCTAAAGAGAAACTGTGCCATTCTATTAGTATTGGACACTGCAAGTCTTTTAAAAGAGGACTTAATTATTAGACAAATCTATGCTATGTCATATACCATTTTGTGATTGCTTGAAAGATATTTCTGATATATATATATATATACAGGGTGAATTGCTACTCGTGCTACAAACTTCTCCAGTAGATTCTTCACCCTAAAATGAACAAAAAAGTTCATATTGTCCATGGTCCGATTCTCAACCATTTCAGAGTAATTTCGCTTTTTATCGATTTTGAAAGATATCACGTCCTGGCGTCGGAAAATCGTGATATCTTTTAATCTAAACATTTCTCTTAAAATCTATAAGCACCGTTGAAATCCCCGTTAATTTTTAGAGAGAATCAAAATCATAATTCCATTGAAATTTTTTAATTTAATTTAATGCCCATTTAGTATGTAATGCTTAAGAAGTTTACAAACAGCTAGAAGGTCAAGGAAGAAAGACCCAAACGTTTTGCCACCTTCATCTTCTTATTGAAAAATTAACGGGGATTTCAACGGTGCTTATAGATTTTAAGAGAAATGTTTAGATTAAAAGATATCACGATTTTCCGACGCCAGGACGTGATATCTTTC